TTCTAATAGACTGGATGGCCCTTTTCTTCTCATTGTATGTTACTGCATTCTCTTCCTGGTCACATTCTGCCCCTTTTTCTTTAGCAAGTTTATCTGCGGTTTCGTTTCCTGGTATTCCACAGTGGGGGTCTTATCGCTCCATTATAAACTTTCTTTAGGGTTTTTCCATTCGCTCCCAATCCTGTACCTGCCAGTTTTCTAAGTAGGCCTAGTCGTCTCCTGGCCTTCCCTTCTACATTTTCTATATGTTTGCTCCATGTGAGCCTTTTATCAAATGTTACTCCAAGATAAGTGGGGAAGCTTTCGTCCTTTAGCAAGGATGTTCCTATGTGAATACTAGCAGCTTTGTCTCTGGGGGAAAGAGAGAAAAGCGTTGTGGTTGTTTTGTCTGTGTTGATGGCAACATGCCACTTTTCTGCCCATGTCATCAAGAGATCTGCTGCTCGCTGCATTCTTATATTTGCCACTGTTGTGTGTTCATCGGTACACCAGAGTGCCAGATCATCTGCATACAGGGCAGCTTTTACTCCTGTAGGGAGGTCTTTCACCAGATCATTAATATACACAAGAAAGAGGGAGAGATAACTCCTCCCTCTAGTACTCCTTGCCGAAGTAACACTTTTCTACTCTGCTGGCCATCAAGACTGACTCTAGTTCTCCTGCTGTGAAAGAAGGATTGGATCCATCAAAATCCCTCATCCACAAAATTGTTTAACAACCCAACATATTTCGGAATCGCATTCAGAACGGACATGAGTCTATTCAATTACTGCATGCATGTGCAGTTAGTTGCCAAGCCAGCCGACGGCCGCCTCTACCTCCATTCTCAAACTAGATGTTGTATTATATGCCAGGCTTTGCACATACACTCTCTCCGATGTTATGTTTGTGACGCAGGCCTCATAGGCCGTGTTAGTATTACAGATACACAATGTCTTCCGTTCTCACATGGGTACTGAGAGACGGCCTTGTCTTATCAGACCTGCAGTCATCGTATTTCGAGATATACCGTCGGTTCCTTTAGTGCAGTAGGGTGACCATTATATCTTGAGCTGAAAACTGGACATCCAGGCAAGTCAATTTACCCCCCCCCCCCCCACCGCCAAGCGGCACCAATTATCCTAAAATGTATGTATATTATTATTAATCATTAAGATCTCCATATGGGTTTCGGGGTCCAATTGTGGGGGAAAACAAGAACAGACCCACTGTCTCAAGCATGCCGTAGAAGTCGACTAATTGGGGTCATCCTTTGAAGTTGGAGTACATCTGCCTGAGTGGCAAGGAACCAGGAAACAATCTGCAGGCAAATTAGCCAGATCTGTCAAACAGATATACACGCAGCACTGAGGTTCTGGAACAAGTCTAAACTCTGGAAGTGGACGAACACCCTGTATTTCTCGTCGGAGTTTACAGCTTATGAACGCGAAGATGAAAAATTAATAAGGAACTACATTATTGTATAAAATTGATTCCTTTATTTTACAAAATGGAAAATTTTGTGTTTTGGGAAGTACTGACGGTGCGGTAGGGGCCAAAAAAAGGGAGGAGGGGAAGGGGGCCTAAAAAAATAAGACTGGCCTCGTGAAAACGAGACATTAAGGTCATCGCTGCAGTCACTTCATTTAGATAACGTAAAGACAACTGCTGAAAAAAAACAGAACACTTCTGTCAGCTCCCTCCTATTACAATAAAATTACCCCCCCCCCCATTTCTCTCTCTCTCTCTCTCCTCTCTCTCTCTCTCGCAGCGCTCTCTCTCTCTCTCTCTCTCTCTCTCTCGTCTCTCTCTCTCTCTCTCTCTCTCTCTCTCTCCTCTCTCTCTCTATTTCCCTCATATACAAGTTACTGAAAGGAACAAACTTACTCACAATTTCGACATTCTGTAATGCAGTAAGTGAAATTACTCAAATTTCACAGACGAATACCTTTGGGTTCTGCCAATATATTGACATCTTTTTTGCATCTGGGTCACGATAGTTTTTAAGCGTATGCCTTTCCCGTCAGTATGGTGTGTGGACTTTCCCGTCAGTATGGTGTGTGGACTTTCCCGTCAGTATGGTGTGTGGCCTCCTCTTGCGTGGATCAGTGACTGGCGTCTCCTGGGCATGGATGCGATCAGATGTCTGATGTGGGCCTGTGGGATGTCTGCCCACTCTTCTTGGAGTGCCTGAAACAGATCACGACCATTGGCTGGAGCAACGTTTCGGCGACAAACACGTCTTTGCAGCTCATCCCACAGGTGCTCAATCGGACTCATGTCTGAAGACAGGGACGGCCAGGGAAGGGTCTAAATGTTATTGGCAGCCAGGAACTGTGTGGTCAGCTGTGCAGAATGGAGTCTAGCCTTGTCCTGTTGAAAAGAATATCTGTTGCCATCCCAAAATGGAAGGACATGTGGTCGAAGGATTTAATGGAAGAATCGTTGCGCATTCAAGGTTCCTTTAATGTGCACCAGTTGACAGCTTCCGTTGTAACTTATCATTCCACATATCATTACACCTCCACCACAGTGCAGCAGAGCTTCATCAACACATTTTTGGCTAAACCTTCAATTCCTTTACGGTAGACCCTACGCCGTCTATCATGACGCTGCAACAAAAATAAAGATTCGTCACTGAACCAGACACTTCCCCACTGATTGTCATTTGCCCAGGGACGATGTTGGTTGGCCCAAAGAAGTCGATTTTGGTTTTGCGACGCGTAAGGACAGGTCCTCGGTGTGGTCGTCGGGCCCAAAGTCCAACATCGTGCAGTCTGTTCGGAAAAGTTTGATAAGACACATGACGTCCTGGAGGCAATGCCTGTGCAGTTGAGGAAGCTGTTGTAAATCTGTCTCTGAGGTGACGAAGCCGAATAAAGCGATTCTTTGTTGCTGTTGTCACTTTGGGTCGTCTACTGCAATGTCGGTCTTCAGCTAAACCAGTGGTTTGGAACCAGTGCCAAAGTCGACTGATGGTACTCTGGTGCACGTTTAGATGCCTGGCAAGCTGACTTTCCTCTGCCTGGAATCTGCCAATAGCAATATTCCTTTAATTTATCGATAGAGACGCTATTCGTGACTGCTTGAAAATTAACTGATCGTTTTGGTGTAGCGTTATAATTTTATAGGTTTTCAAATGCATAGGCAGTGAATAGTTTTCACCGCACATTGTGTTGCTTTCTCGTACGCGCATCGTGAGCTATGCTCACAAATATCGTTTTAAACACAATTGACCGCTGCGTTGTAACGATTACAAAAACACACGCAATTCACACTCACATATCCACTGGACACGGTAAACATTTGAGTCTGCTTTTCACATACCTGAGTATGTTTTTTTTTTTTTTTTTACAAACTTATAAAAAATCGCTATCGGATAACTAGGTGTTTCTTTTCAGTATACTATCTCTCTCTTAAACACACGCACTCAAACATCCATATGAAATTATTAAACGAATCAGTTGTCGCACGAGCTCCAATCTCACTCGCGCACGGTGTAATCGCGAACATTACCTGAGAAAGATTTCCAAAACAAGAACATCTTCAGCGTTCAGACGACAGGGATCACACGAACAGGAGAATAGTGCATTAAAGTATTATTAACAGGTAATAATTTACCGCTGTGTTGTTTTACTGTTTACGAACAAGCTGTTTTGCTAAATCAGTAGCAATAACTTGTAACTTCGTTTGTTTGTTGGCACCTCTCTTTCCATTGCTCCCCCCCCCCCCAGACGATATTTAATTTAATTTCATTTTATAGTATCGTATCGTTACATTGTGCTAGGGGGGATGCATAGGCATGGGTCTGGGACTCACACACAGCCCATGGCAATGGCGAGTGAGACTAGCAACACTTGCTTGTGTAAGAAAAGTCTTTAACTATAGAGCATAGGATTTCAGGACCATTGTACCCATCTCTTCTCCTGTGTTTTGCTTTTGCATGCTTCTCCCTATCCCTTCTACTTTCTGCAGCTATTTTTTCCTTCATTCTCATTCCTTTCCTTTGCCCACTTTAATACAGTCCATTGCGTTTACACGAATCTACTTCCATATATGTATCAGTGATACTATCATTCTCATGTCCCACTTGCACACATCTTTATATCGTAATAGAGGCTGGGCTCGACATTTTGTACCCATCTGTAATTCATCATTGGGGATGTCCTTTAGGGACTGTGTACTTCATCCTCCAGGTGTGACGAAGCCACCTGAGCCTTCAGAGACTTGAGCATTGAGAAAACTGCAATACCAATACCTGCTGTTTCCAATACAGTATATAGATTCCCCCAAAACAGCTGAGCTGAAATAGAAGTGTTAGTTCTATTACATTAGTGTTATTCTATGCCAGAGTTGTGCATTAAATTTAAAATCGTGACACTGATATTAACGTGAAATGTAGATTTTCCAATCTTTAATTATTTCTTATACCCCCCCCCCCCCCCCCCCCCCCCCCCCCCCCCCACCCAATTCCAATTCTTGCTTCTTCTTATACATTGCCAGAAAACTAAATTGAAAAATTGCAACAACAACAAATAAAAACAGCACTAAGGCAGAGTATGTTTTAAAGATAAAGTCGAGAAATGTGGACCAGTGTCATTGCACATGGTTATAAACCATAAGTGCTCTGCCGCCCAGAATGGACAGCTGATAAGAAACTGTCCGCCTGTGTTGCCGTCTGTAGCTACAGCGACGTTCCTCCATTTACCCCAGAGTGTTAACTGGTACCCATTACCTATAGCCTGGGTGAACCCCGGGAGCCACCAGGTTTCGAACACTGGCTGTGTGTTGCAGTCACAGCTGGATTTGAAAGTGAGTCTCCTATCGACTGCGGTAATGCGGCCCCTGCGTATGTTTTAGACAGCGTTAACAGCCATCAGACTGTGTTTCTCAGAATTGTCGTACTTGATTTTGAACAGAAGTGACATGTTGTTTTGCTATGCCTTACTTGTGTTTGTTAATTATGTCCTCTGAAACTAGGCGTCAAGTAGCCAACAAGAAGAGGGAGAGTTTGAAGCACAATGGATGGCCATGAGTTGGAACTGTTTTGTCACAGGTTGCCAAAAGTAGTATGTAGCTTGCTTACTTCCCTAACTGATTCAAATATGGAACATATCACAGACTTGTAGATTCGTATACATATTGATACATAGCTACAGGAAGATAATATACACAGGGTATTCTATAAGTTTCCACACTGAAGAATGAAAACATTTTTTAAAAAGAAAACAATTTTTTAGAATATCATATGCTTCACACGGCTACCATTGTTTTGGAAACACATGTCAGTGCCTTTGCTCTATTGCTGAAGAACACATTTAAGCACAGCTGGAGTTACGTTTGTTTATTTGTTCTATGAATGGAAACTTATGGGACATCCTGTATAGTGAACAAATAGACAAGTAGTGATTAGCACTCATAGAGGAGTTAAGCATGCAATAATATGTATAGTCCGGGAAGCAGTGAATATAATGGCGTTAACAGTAGATGTGGGGGGTGTTAAGCATATGTGCAATGTTACTAAAAAATTAATCGTTAGAATTCGATTTTCAAAGGGTTGTCCTTGCAGACATTGTTTTATTCATACATCTTTTATTATGTGAATTTCAACATAAGTAGCAAGAAGTGCATAAAAAATATGCAAAAAAGACCATTAATACTAATTATTATGGCACATATAGTTAAGGTATAAATACCATAGAGCAGGACAGTGAATGCTTTTTATAGCAGGGTAGTTTAGCTAATTGAGGTTAGAATGTTCAGTGTTTACTGAAAGTAGAACAAGAATTTCCTGGGTGAATTCCAGGGCTCTGTCTTGGGAGAAATATAATAGATTCACTAGAAAGAAAAAGTTGATAATAAACACTGTAGACCTAGCAGAGGTCAGCAGATTATATAATTGAAGTGATGAGAATAGGCAGGTACAAAGGTCACGTCTAATGCAAACAATAAATGTAGCCACTGTGTGAGCAGAGAATATTTACTGGGGACATGTACACACTTCTCTACATTGAATATTTTTTTCTTAGAATGTTTTAATTTTCCCCATCTGAGATCACTGCTTGAAAGACTGACATCCAATGATTCAAAAACCGCTTTTTGGATTTTAATTCTTCTTCTTCTTCTCATTCACCGGCTGTAAACTTTGGGAGAGAAATCTTGTTGTTCATCCATTTCTGGACTTTAATCCTGATTCAGAATCTGAGTGTTGCATGCATATCCATTTTACAGGTGTGACTCATTTGTATGCAGACTGTTGGTTCCTTGCTTCTCAGGCAGATGCAGCCCGACTTTGAAGGAAGCCACCAGTTAGGCAATTCTTATGACATGCTTGTTCGGGAGGCAGTGAGTCTATTCTTGTTTTCCCCACATTGGGCCCCCAGAACCCACATGGGGACGATGTGAATCCAACAGGAGCAGCTAATCACAGACACTAAATTCAGCCATAGAAAACAGTTATATTGGGACATTCTGTTATTATTACAAAATCTATGTGGTTATGGTTGTCGTATTTAAACACATAAAATATGTACTGCCTGTTTACAGCTATGGAGATATTTCGTTTCGGTGGTAGATTACATAAAACTGTGACATACAAGATCAGGTTTTTTAGAAATATCGCTGGAAAAAAACAGGTAGAGACAGAGTCAGCAGTGAAGAACTATGAACAATGGTAGGCACAGTACTGATAAATGATTTTATAGAACATCAAAGAATTAAATGGTCTTGTCATTTAGACTGGAAATAAATCAGCCAGCGGCTAGAGTATACTACATGAGAACAGCAGGCTATAAGGCAAGAGGCTGACCAAGAAAGAGAGGGGTAGAGGAAGTAAAAGTGATACTGCAGAAACACAAGTTACACAACTAGCAAATGATAGGAAACTACATCTAACTCCTGTCTGTGATGCTTTGCGGCATAAGCAGTAGAAGAAAAGGAAAAGGTAGATTACATTGTTTTGTTCTCATGTTTTTACAATATGGTATTGATAGTCTGCTGTTGAATTTTGTCAGTTTATAAATAGTTTTGTCTGTTTATGGTGAATCCAGGAACTTCACACTCATTTGAACACGAGTTACAGCCCAGAGTCATTGCGTCAACTTATAGCCTTGTCTGGTGATACATGGGAGCATGCGATGGAAGAACTACACATATCTTCAGACAGGGATATAGATGAGTGAATACTTACATCTGTGTCATTAATTCATCATCATCATCATCATATAGCATGTAACTTAAAAAAGTTTCTCCCCCTCCCCCCTCCCCCCAACCTCATGTACTTTCCCACTGAAGGCCTCTAATGTCTTCCAAGTCCTTTGCCCACTTTCATCTTCAGAGTTCTTTATTTACTACTGGCAAAACCCAGTTGATTGCTCAAAAAGAAAAAGTACCCAGCTAAAAGCTTCTTCCTATTCTGGTTTGCCCATAAAAGAGCAGTTACCTTGTTCTCTTATGGTTTACTGCTAGACTGCCATTTGAGCAAACTCTTCATTAGTCGTCTTTTGCTATATGCTTGTTTACGAGCAGTCGGTCTGTTCTCTTTCCTTCACAAATGGATCTCCAGAATCCACATGGATTCATGTGGCACTTTGAAGATTAGTTGTGCAGTCTGCAGAGATAAACATGTTTATGAAGTCATTGACAGAGAGGGAGAACAAATGTTTCAGCTGGGTCTGTTCAGTGGCTGACTGTGGACTGGAACACATAGAGCATTTAGGAGACCATATCTTCATGACACTTCAGGGAAAAGGAAAAGTGTGTGTTGATTGATCCCACATGACATACTATGACATCATCAGTTATCAGGTCCTATACAGAACGTTACTCTCAGCCTGGCACGCCTGAAACTCTCTTTCTCTAGTCAATTCTCCAGCCCTTTGTGCTTTCATGTCCAATGGCCAAAACATCTCAGCTTTTCTGGACAGGTTACCGTTTATGAGCGAGTAATCGATACTCAAATCATATAGGATTTTAGTGTTCTTCTTCTTGACCCATGGTATTCTTAGAATGTTTCTGTAGCATTTTCCTTCAAAAGCTATTTAGCATGCCAGGCTTTGTAAATAGCCTAGGTCTTCAGCCAGCTCCTGCCATGCAATAACTGGACTTGAGTTAAACTTTGCTATGGGATAAGGTAGTCAGTCTCACACAAACTCTCCTTGGGCACTTCTTCCTACAAACATGGGAGCTCTTTTGTTTGTTAAGACCTTTTTCATGTCAGGGGTGCATTGAACATATGATGATGGGCACAGATTTCTTTAGACCAGCTGTCACTGGATGGGTGATATGCTTAACTCTTCTTCTTCTTCTTCAGCACATTCACCAGCTGTAAACTTCGGTTGTTTGTCCACTTCTGTCTTGTTCCAGAAATTGAGTTGTACTTGTTTATCCTTTTTATAGATCTGTCTTAGTTGTATGCAGACTGTTGATACCTTGCCTCTCAGGCAGATGCACTCCAACTTCAAAAGAAATGCCTTATTAGTTTAAATGTATTATGTGCCTGTTAGGGAGGCAGTTGGTCTGGTTAATCCCCCCCTCCCCCCCCCCAGCACCCACACAGGAAATATGGTGAACATCACACTGAAGGTTTTTACTACCCAGGTTATTTCCTGGTACCTTTTTTTTAGTGTGGATTTGAACCCAAGACATTGAGACCAACAGGCATGCCTCTAATGGTAGGATGGAATGTAAAGGATCTTTACTTAATCTCAGCCACACATTTTGTCCTAGTATCAGATTTGCAAAGCATACTCAGGAAGGTGAAGTCAGGTTTTTTCTGTGTGGTATGGAATGGGTCGCATCAATCTAGAATTAGCAGGTGGTAAGAGTCACATGGATATTTTGACCGGCCTATGTAGGCGCATTTGGAAATCATCAGGCAGATAGCCTGGCTGTACTGGTCCCACCTGGTTGTATGCTGCAACTGGACAAGGCAGAGGTGGTCTCTCACCTGAGAGAATGAGCTAACAAGTAAAATGTAAAATATTGAAAATCTATACCTGGAAAAATAAAGCAGCAAGAGGGTCTGCGGATTGTAGGTGCCGCTCAAGACTCTGAGGGAAAGGCAAGATTAGCTAACCAGATGACAGTGGTTACCATCAGTTTGGAGACTCTTCTCTGGCTGTTGAGGAGGGAGACAGAGCTAATAAGGGCTTGTCCTGAAAGGTGCGCTGTCAGATATTTACCAAAATTAACCCAAATTTTTTTTTACTTTCCGTGTGGTCCCAATTAAAACATGGGTTATTTGTAATAATTCTAATTGTTTTTATTTTGCTGTATGAAACATAAAGTTTTCTGACATTTTTTAGAAGCTTCAAACTATACACAAAAATTCAGAAGCTGGTCACAACAGAGAAAGCAGTGTATCTGGTAAGTATGGCAGTAAAGTAAAGATGCCATGTTATGCCTTGAAGTATACTAAATAATGGTGCAGGGAATTGTTATGGAAAGTAAATGTGACAGATATAATATTAATGTATAATATATATTAAAATTGTGTTGTTGCCTAGTGTGTCCTTCTATCTCTCTACATCTTTCTATGAGTGCTGATCAATACATTGTCTGTTTATTTATTATATATATATGATACAATATTGACCTTATCACCTATATAAATATAGGACTGCTGCCATTTATCCAGTGCAGTGCAAGGTGTGGAAGAACCTTCTTTACTTACTGATAACATCAAAATATTGTGAGGGTTTTATCAGCTTTGATACTCATATCATTCAGGAGTAATAATCCATATTGTCTGGCAGTCAATTTTATAAATGTTGCATTTGTAGACACACACTGCTCTTCTGCTAATTTATGGAGGTAAAGAGGAACATTTGAATCAAGATTATCTGATCTCATTCTATCAGCTGTTTGTCAGTTTTAAAGTTATTAATACATGTATATCTGTGGCTGAGGTATGGTAAACGCGCTTTACAATTTTGAGGTGGTGGGTTTGGCAGCAGACTGCATTGCATTGTTTTCGACAGCGGTATCGAGAGCTGACCATTCAAAAGCATTGGCTCACTACTGAACATAACATTTTTTAGTAAAATGACAAACAGTCAACAAAAACAAAACATTATATGTCAGTAGGGCTGACAGTCTGGACCTCTGTTTAGTTCTGTCTTTTTAAATCCCTTCGGTATCATCGATGGAATCCAGTTCTGCACGTTTGTTTTCTTTCAACAATGTTTGCCTTGTTTTCTCAGTTACAGGGCTGTTTAGTGATTCTTTTGGTTTGCATCTGTTCATAGCATGCCCAGTGTATTGTCATCTTTGTGTTCTTATAAGTGATGATAGAGGCAGTTGTCCACAAACATTTCTCTTATTTCTTCACCTTTCATTATTTCATCCTATTTCATTTTTCATAATTTTCTTAGGCATTTGTTTTCAAATGCATTAAATTTTCCTTCAGTGTTTTTAGTGGTTCTCTAACTATTGCTTGCAAATGTGAAAAGTGAATTAATATTAGGACTAAAAATACATAAAGCTTGTTTTAAAAACTATAAAATTTAGAGTTCTGTATTTTCTTCAGTTTTTTAAATATAAACCGTTTAGGCACAGTTTAATCTATAACAGTTGACTGCTCTACAGTTGACCCGTAGTGTGATCAAGGAGTATGCAGCAGACAATGTCAAATACATGGAGCTGAGGTCTACCCCCAAGGAGATACCTGAGACGGGAATGAGCCGTGAGTTGTATTTACGTACAATGATACGAGCTGTACGAGATTGTGAACAGGAAGGTCTAGACATTATTGTAAAACTGCTGGTATCAATTGACCGCAGACAAGGGGTCAAAGTTGCAGAGATGGCTGTTGACCTTGCGGAGAAGTTGATGCAGGAGACAAATGGACTTGTCCTAGGGATTGATTTTAGTGGAGACCCGAAGGTTAGATTTAAATGTAATTTTGCATTCTTTTCTTCCCTAATAAATTCCTTTCCAAGCCTAATTAGTTGTAAATACTTCACTAACAAATTGCTTTCATGTCTGAAATATTGTAAATATGCATGATTTTCCATAGCAGATGATGTCATTGTTTTAAATAGTTGTAAATTTGCATGATTTTGAAACTTGTCAATTACATTTCCCACCTAAAATGCTGTAAATGTGCATGATTTTGAAACTTGTCAGTTACATTTCCTGCCTGAATGCTGTAAATGTGCATGATTTTGAAACTTGTCAGTTACATTTCCCCCCTAAAATGCTGTAATTATGCATGCTTTCTTTATCTAACACACTGGCTTTTAACCTTCCTAATGCCGTGACCCTTTAATAGAGTTCCCCCATGTTGTGGCGACTATAAAACAAAAATTTTCCTTCATAACTTCAATGAATATGTGTTTTCCGATGGTCTTAGGTGACCCCTGTGAGAAGGTCATTCGACCCGAAAAAGGGACATGACCGGCAGGTTGAGAACCTCTGCTCTGTCAGAATGCATTTCATTGTAAGCACTAGAACACAGTTTACCTACATATATTACAGTGTTACTTGTTCTTCTCCAAATGCGTTTTTAATATAGACAATAGATTTAACAGGTGAAGAAATTAGAGAAATGTCTGGACAACTGCCTTTATCATCAGTTATAAGAACACGAAGATGGCAATATAATGGGTACAACATGAAGATGGCAATATAATGGGTACAACATGAAGATGGCAATATAATGGGTACAACATGAAGATGGAAGTATATTGGGTACAACACAAAGATGGTAATATAATGTGTACAACATTAAGATGGAAGTATATTGGGTACAACACGAAGATGGCAATATAATGGATACAACATGAAGATGGAAGTATATTGGGTACAACACGAAGATGGCAATATAATGGGTACAACATGAAGATGGAAGTATATTGGGTACAACATGAGGATGGCAGTATATTGGGTACAACATGAGGATGGCAGTATATTGGGTACAACATGAGGATGGCAGTATATTGGGTACAACATGAGGATGGCAGTATATTGGGTACAACATGAGGATGGCAGTATATTGGGTACAACATGAGGATGGCAGAATATTGGGTACAACATGAGGATGGCAGTATATTGGGTACAACATGAGGATGGCAGTATATTGGGTACAACATGAAGATGGCAGTATATTGGGTACAACATGAGGATGGCAGTATAATGGGTACAACATGAGGATGGCAGTATATTGTTTACAACATGAGGATGGCAGTATAATGGGTACACCATGAGGATGGCAGTATATTGGGTACAACATGAGGATGGCAGTATATTGGGTACAACATGAGGATGGCAGTATATTGGGTACAACATGAGGATGGCAGTATATTGGGTACAACATGAGGATGGCAGTATATTGGGTACAACATGAGGATGGCAGTATATTGGGTACAACATGAGGATGGCAGTATATTGGGTACAACATGAGGATGGCAGTATATTGGGTACAACATGAAGATAGCATTATATTGGGTACAACATGAGGATGGCAGTATATTGGGTACAACATGAATATGGCAGTATATTGGGTACAACATGAGGATGGCAGTATATTGGGTACAACATGAGGATGGCAGTATATTGGGTACAACATGAGGATGGCAGTATATTGGGTACAACATGAGGATGAAGGTATATTGGGTACAACATGAGGATGGCAGTATATTGGGTACAACATGAGGATGGCAGTATATTGGGTACAACATGAGGATGGCAGTATTTTGGGTACAACATGAGGATGAAGGTATATTAGGTACAACATGAGGATGGCAGTATATTGGGTACAACATGAGGATGGCAGTATATTGGGTACAACATGAGGATGAAGGTATATTGGGTACAACATAAGGATAGCAGTATATTGGGTACAACATGAGGATGGCAGTATATTGGGTACAACATGAGGATGGCAGTATATTGGGTACAACATGAGGATGAAGGTATATTGGGTACAACATGAGGATGGCAGTATATTGGGTACAACATGAGGATGGCTGTATATTGGGTACAACATGAGGATGGCAGTAAATTGGGTACAACATGAGGATGGCAGTATATTAGGTACAACATGAGGATGGCAGTATATTGGGTACAACATGAGGATGGCAGTATATTGGGTACAACATGAGGATGAAGGTATATTGGGTACAACATGAGGATAGCAGTATATTGGGTACAACATGAGGATGGCATTATATTGGGTACAACATGAGGATGGCAGTATATTGGGTACAACATGAGGATGAAGGTATATTGGGTACAACATGAAGATGGCAGTAAATTGGGTACAACATGAGGATGGCAGTATATTGGGTACAACATGAGGATGGCAGTGTATTGGGTACAACATGAGGATGGCAGTATATTGGGTACAACATGAATATGGCAGTATATTGGGTACAACATGAGGATAGCATTATATTGGGTACAACATGAGGATGGCAGTGTATTGGGTACAATATGAGGATGGCAGTGTATTGGGTACAATTTGAGGATGACAGTATATTGGGTACAACATGAGGATGGCAGTATATTGGGTACAACATGAGGATGGCAGTATATTGGGTACAACATGAGGATGAAGGTATATTGGGTACAACACGAAGATGGCAGTATATTGGGTACAACACGAAGATGGCAGTATAATTGGTACAACATGAAGATGGCAGTATATTGAGTACAACATGAGGATGGCAGTATATTGGGTACAACATGAGGATGGCAGTGTATTAGGTACAACATGAGGATGGCAGTGTATTGGGTACAACATGAGGATGAAGGTATATTGGGTACAACTTGAGGATGAAGGTATATTGGGTACAACATGAGGATGGCAGTGTATTGGGTACAACTTGAGGATGGCAGTATATTGGGTACAACATGAGGATGGCAGTGTATTGGGTACAACATGAGGATGGCAGTATATTGGGTACAACATGAGGATGGCAGTATATTGGGTACAACATGAGGATAGCAGTATATTGGGTACAACATGAGGATGGCATTATATTAGGTACAACATGAGGATGGCAGTATATTGGGTACAACATGAGGATGGCAGTATATTGTGTACAACATGAATATGGCAGTATATTGGGTACAACATGAGGATGGCAGTATATTGTGTACAACATGAATATGGCAGTATATTGGGTACAACATGAGGATGGCAGTATATTGGGTACAACATGAGGATGGCAGTGTATTGGGTACAATATGAGGATGGCAGTGTATTAGGTACAACTTGAGGATGGCAGTATATTGGGTACAACATGAGGATGGCAGTATATTGGGTACAACACAAAGATGGCAGTATATTGGGTACAACACGAAGATGGCAGTATAATTGGTACAACATGAAGATGGCAGTATATTGGGTACAACATGAGGATGGCAGTATATTGGGTACAACATGAGGATGGCAGTATATTGGGTACAACATGAGGATGGCAGTCTATTGGGTACAACATGAGGATGGCGGTATATTGGGTACAACATGAAGATGGCAGTATATTGGGTACACCACGAGCAGATGCAGACAGTAAAATCACTAAACAGGCCTGAAACTGAGAAAACAAAGAAGTCTGAGCAAACGTTGTTGAAAGAAGCCAAAAGTGCTGAAATGGGTTCCATCAGTGATACTGAAAGGATTTAAAAAGACAGAACTAGATTTCAAGTGATTGTATGATGCGCTGTCTCACCCACTATGCTGTTTAAAGTACTATACACTTTGCATGTAGATAAAGTTAATTTGTCTGTTATCTTTGTTTTGGTATTTCCTATCAGTCAGTCATCATTTTTGAAGTGACAGCAAGGTAGTTAAATTAGAATTCTGCAATCTAGCTTGTATTTTTGTTTACCTTGGCCCAGGTGGGAGATGCTGCCAACTTTATTTCAGTGTTTCTTGACGCTGGCAGACGTGGGCTGAAACTTGGCCTCCATCTGGCAGAGGTAGGTTTTGTAGGTAACTTATTGGCTTTGTTTCATTTATTTCAATGTCACATGGGTTAAGAATGCATGGTTTTCTTCTTCTTTGTTCATCGGCTGTAAGATCCTGAGGAAGGTCCGGGTTGTTCAGACTTTGGCTTTGTGTTGGGTTTTAGTTTTGCATGTGCATTTGTTTCAGTAAGAGGTGGCACACCTGTAATGTCTTTAAATGGCTTCTAAAGAGATTCCATTAAAAAACATTGTGACGAAGCTGAAGAATGTCAGTCCCCAGTGACTGACCCAAAGCGGCTGCAGCAGTTACTGCCGACAACATTCATCGAGTTGATGGCATCACTCATGTTGACCGTCGAATAACACTGGATGAACTGTGTTCCTTGTTGTCCATTAGTTGACTGACTTTCTACCCCACCAGGACATCACACAAGCGATAAACACCCGATGACACAAAGTGCCACCATGCGGATGAGGATCACCGTGGAGAGGTCCCAGAAACCGCGTTCAGACAATTGGCCATATTGATGGCCTGCCTATATTGCGGCTCCTGGCAAAAGCCAGAGTGGGGCTTCAAATTAAAAAAAATTACGTCCTAAGAAGGACGTAAGGAATATTCCATTAGTTAAGGCAGTATCCAGTTCATCAATCTTCACTGAAATCACTTTAAGAACATCGAGACTGGTCAAGGCACCACACTGTACACCAGTGGTGCAGGACATTTTTTTCTCTGTGGGGATACGTAACCTATTGAAAAGATAGACACAAGAAAAGCTTAAACAAATAATGAAGACCGCATTGAGAAAAACACATTTTTGAAGTTCAGACTTAAGACTACACTACAGTTCAGACTTGGGACTACACTACAGTTCAGACTTGGGACTACACTACAGTTCAGACTTGGGACTACACTACAGTTCAGACTTGGGACTACACTACAGTTCAGTGTGAATTTTGTCTGTTTTCATGCCTGTTGAATGCAATTACAAATTATGAGGTATTACTTTTTGAATGTCCCTCATAAATTCACCATAAATATGCTACTTCATAGTTAAAATAAGTAGGACATTTTAAACTGACAGGAAGTGTAAGAAGAAAACATAACACTATGCTTGAAATGGGAGATAATCCAATATTTGTGTAAAACTATTCTTTGAAATGGGAGATAATCCAGTAGTGAATGAATGAATGAATTTCTACCCCACCAGGACATCACACAAGCGATAAACACCCGATGACACAAAGTGCCACCATGCGGATGAGGATCGCCGTGGAGAGGTCCCAGAAACCGCTTTCAGACATTTGGCCATATTTATGGCCTGCCTATATTGCGGCCCCTGGCAAAAGCCAGAGTAGGGCTTCAAATGACAAAAAATTTCGTCCTGAAAAGGACGAAACTGGATTATACTGGATTTTGTAAAACTTTTGTGCTTGAAATGAGAGATATTCCATATTTGAATCATGAATAAATTGACAGACATGAAAAGTAGCAGCTTTATAAAGACAATAGTAATGATACTGTTCTTTTTAAAGTCCTTTTTAGGATGCAATTTTTCATTATTTTGAAGCCCCCCACCCTGACTCTTGCAAGGGGCCTCAATATAGCCTGGCCATAAATATGGCCTAATGGCTGAACACGGTTTACGAGACCTCTTCACGGGTGATCCTCATCCACATGGTGGCACTTTGTGTCATTGGGTGTTTATTGCTTGTGTGATGTCCTAGTGGGATAAAATCTACTACTACTGCCAAGACGATAATTTTGAAATAACACCGTCCTAGTATGGGACAAAGTTTTTCTTAATTTTAAAGCTGCGCTCCACTGTTGCCGGGGCCCTAATATAACCCAACATGAGTTTAGCGGTGTTTCTGGGATCTGTCGCCGGGTGATCCTCATTCAGATGGTGGCACTTTGTTTCATTGGGTGCCTATTGCTGGCATTGATGTCCTGATGGGGTCAAACATCAGTAAATCAATCTAGACTTAAAATAAAATGTTTTGGCTGAAAAGCCTTTATCATTTGCCAAAAAAAAAAAAACCAGGGGTCTTCGTGGCGAAGTGGTCAAACCATTTGCCTCGCGCTCTGAAGTCATGGGTTCATTTCACGGCGATGGCGTTCAGTTTACGAGTGCAATTTTTACGGAGATCCCTGGGGATCATCACCGGAGCTACAGAGGTCGTGCTCTGTGCGACACTCTCGGCAGGCAGCTAGCTGTTCTGCGGAGAGAGACTGAGCCAAATGGGATAAAACCTGTTGCAGTGAAGTCGATCCTCTCATCTTTACCTAAAAAAACTACAACAGAAACTGATACTTCTAAATTAAAATATAATTACAAGAAAAGATCTCTTCTTCTTCTGCCTTTCTATCCACCAATGGAGCATAGGCCCTCAACCAACTCACGCCAAGTCATTCTATCCTTCACCATTGCATGGAGCTCTCCCTATGTCCTTCCCGTCTTTCTGACTTCATTCTCCAGTTCTCTTCTCTATGTGTTTTTTGGCCTTCCTTTATTCCTATACCCCTGTGGGTTCCGATGCAAAGACATTCTAGAAAAAGGTACTTAGGTTTTTAGGGTCTTTAGTCTAGTTGTTGACACTTATATTGTCGCTAGTAAAAAAATCACAAGTGCATCACTTTCACAGACAATAAACACAGTTGCAGTAGACACTGAAGAAGCCAGATTGGCACCTGTATAATGGGTGCCTTACAAATTGAGAAGTAAAAAGGAATCCATAAGGCGATGGTTAGGATTCATAGGAAGAGCTTCTACATATCTGCCCAGGGAACAAAGCTTTGAGTTTCTCCAGAATTCAGTGATGTTGATTATGCTCATAATTGTAGCGAGTAATCATTCTCTTTCATTCCAGCTGCCCAATTTTGAGGAGACCAGACGAGTGCTGAAAGCTTGCTGTGATCATTGTGTTGTCCGCATTGGCCACGGTACTTACTTACATCGATATGATCAGGCCACTGGTCATGATGAAGTGGAAGCATTCGTTGCTGAGAGGAAAATTCCTATTGGTGAGGTCCTTTATTGTTTTGATCATCTCTGAGTTAGTGTTAGGAAGGTAGGTAGAATGCTTAGGATAAGGAAATGCAACCTGAAATGTTAATGTTATAGCAGGGCATACCAGGACCTAAGCATTGGTTGGTAGGTGGTCTGCACGGCAGGCTCTGACAGACAGAGCTCTGCTGTTCGGATCCAGCAGCTTCTGCAGCACAATTTTTTCCTGACATACTGGTGTTACCTTTTCTTTGAGTTAAAGCAGGCCAAGTCATGGATCATGTTGTATGGGCAACACATGGTCGCTACAATGTTGCTTACCATGGGTCGATCGTTCAGAAAGCAGTGGCAAACAATTAAGTGAACATAAATTTGTCTTCAAAAAACTAAACTACAATAGTGAAAAAAAAAAATGCTGGGGTTAGTTCTGCTAAGTCCTGTAATGAATACACAACTAATATTTATTTTTTGGATTGTGTTATGGAAAGTAGGAACTTCATCCTTGACCTTAATTGGTATTATTATGGACTGTGATTCCCATACCTTCCTATAGCACAGTGGAACACACTTTTCTAGAAAGGTGCCAGCAGTTAAGGCAAGAATTGATTCCACTGCACATGGGATACTTTCATGTGCGTTTTGCTGCCTGCTTTTGTACCAGTGACAACCATGTTGATATTCCAGCTATCTTTTTTCTTATATGTTGAGTACCATCCAAATCTTTGGCTCAGTTTCTGTTGAATAAGTCTTCTCAGGTGTAGATGAACTATATCTATGCACTTAATGTGAGAACCTTATAATGAAACACACAGCAGTTTATGAACACAGGCAGGTACAGTGCTTAGTACTGAGTCTAAGCAGTGAAGCTCAAGGGCTTGGAATGCTGAAGGAGAGAGGCCTAATGGGCCAGATTTCTTCAGTTTCCAACAGCTAAGAGATTAACATGTTCTCATCTAGGACACACATCATCAAACCTACTATCCCACAATCCCAGGGTATAACAGCAACCTTATCTTGTCTGTGAGGGAAATGTCAAAAGCCTTTTGTTTTCCCACAAACAAGATAAGAAAGAAATGAGCTTTGTGTTTGGTGTGAGTGTAAATGTTGAAGAAATGAGAGTTATTGCAGTTCATGCCATGACTTATCATTTAATCTCGTTAAGCAGAAGCTTGTCTGACATCAAATCTTCGCACAAAGACGGTTGAAAATCTTGAGCAGCATCATTTCAAGTACTGGCTGGACAAAGATCACCCAGTCATCCTGTGTGTAAGTAACAGATAGAAGTCTTTTTGCTTAACATCTTTGCGATCGTCAAATTTCTGATCATATACCTTTGTTGACCAGATTTGACAATCATCAAACTAGGGCCAAGTAGAATGCAGGCGACCCTACCAGTAGTTTTTGAATTAAGCTTCATCCTGGCATTTTTATAATTCCAAGATGGCTGCATCTATGATTGGTGTCACTTAGACCTGTTACCACTGCTTTCAGCGAAATGTAAATTTTTGTTACAAGTGCATCATCAGTTCTCGTTATGCCTAGTGGCACATGAGGCTTCCGAGAGGACTTTCCATGCTTTCCTGTCCTGTGCAATCTTCAGTGCAGTTTTCCATGTCAAAGATGCTGCACTCAGGTCACTTTCCATCGTTCGTCTCCATGTTGTTTTTGGGCGCCCCTGTTTTCTCTTTCCCCTCTGGTGTCCATGTGAAAGCTGTTTTGGCAGGTATATCAGAAGTCATTCTCATAACGTGGCCAAGCCATTTCCATCTTCTCTTGGTAATCATAATGTCTAAAGTTTCTTGTTTTGTGGCTTGAAGTAGTTTAGTGTTTGAGATTGTATCTGGCCAGAAAATTTTGATAATTTTATGTGGTGGAAGGTGGACAGCTTGTGTGCATCCTTTTTGGTCATTCTCCAGCATTCCGCTCCATAAAGAAGAACTGGCAAAATTATGCTCTTGTAGAGTCGGAGTTTTGTTCCTCTGCAGTAATTGTTGGATTTCCAGATTTGCCTCATCCTTCCAAAAGCAGCTCTAGCTTTGTTCAGGCATGACTGTATGTCTTCCTCTGTTCCTCCCAGTAGGGACACCACACTGCCAAGATATGTGAAATGTTCTACATTTTCAAATGATTGGTTACTTATGGTCACTGGTTGTTGGTTTGGACTGTTTGTCATGATCTTAGTTTTCTTTGTATTTATTCTCAGTCCCACCATTTCTGCTGTGCTGTGTAGTCTGTTACTTTTCTCATGTATATTATGTTCATGTTTATGTGATAGGAGTGCTATATCATCAGCAAAATCAAGGTCCTCAAGCATGGTGAATGGAGTCCATCGTATGCATCTTAATGTCCTGTCTACTGTGTTCTTTAGTATCCAATCAATCACAAGGTTGAAGAGGAGAGATGACATAACACATCCCTATCTTACACCTGTCTTACAAGTGCATATTCAGCCCTTTTTATCATGCCTGATGATGAAAACCAAACTTGTAGTATAGATGATTCTGACTCATGCCAGTGAATGTAGCACTGAAGGTGATAATTCCTGGCTAAGTAGAGATTATTTGGCATATGGTATCGATTTCGCAACTGAAAGTGGTGATAACAATGGCAGAGGTGATGTAGGTACATCTGAAGAAATAAGTGAGCATGGTCAAGAGATCAGAACATTTCTACAGCTGAAAATGCTTTTGAAAATGAAGAAAGGCAGCTCAAAATTAAATTTTTGAGCTTTAGAATCTTCCTCCTTACCAAGAACAACAAGATATGTCAGATGCTGATTGGTTTTGTCAAGCTTTTTTCCTCCCAACACTGCCATATATCTGTGAAGTCAATTGGTAAAAATCTCCTCTCACAGTACACATGAATGTTCTGCATTCATAGCCTTTAGATTGATGTGGGAATGTTTGTGAAATCAGCTGAAAACTGGAAAATGATGATAGTTTTAAAACATCTGAAATTTTTATAAATAGCCAAACAAATTCAAGATGGCTGCAATAATCATATGACATATTTGCTTAGCATATCTTTCTTCATATGTAGCAACCAATCATAATGGTGCTATGAAGGTTTCAAAACCCTACACTGATTTTTGATTTTTAATGAATTTCATTAGATAACCAGTCATTTTAGAATAAATCTACAAACACCCACGGTAAAGGGAGACAGTAGTGCACCAGATTGCTGGTCAGCAGTGTTATTGAGTGTGATATACATTGCCTGTTAACCAAGCTTTTGAGAAAAAGCACATTAAGTACATGCGATGACAACAATAGTCATGAAATCCTAGGCTGCAATTGTGGAAGTCTTTTGTGTGTATGTTTTTTAAATTTTTTAAATATTTTTAAACAGGAGCAGGTCTTGCTGGTGACACTTGCCATCACCGTCTGCTGTGATTGTGATAGCTCTCTATAGTACAGTATAACACACGCATCTGGGACGATTCCTTGTGTGGGTTCTAAAGTCCAATTGTGGGTGGGGGAGGGGAGGGGGGAATAGACCCACTGTCCCCCAACAAACATATTGTAAGAGCTGACAAATTAGGGATGTGTCCTTCAATGTCAGTGCATCTGCCTGAGAGACGAGGAACCAAAAGTTTGCATAAAAATTAAACCAGATCTCTAAAATGTATGTGCACACAAAACTCTGGTTCTGGAACAAGACTAAGGTCTAGAAGTGGATAAATGGTTCTGGAACAAGACTAAAGTCCAGAAGTGGATAAATGGTTCTGGAACAAGACTAAGGTCTAGAAGTGGATAAATGGTTCTGGAACAAGACTAAAGTCTAGAAGTGGATAAATGGTTCTGGAACCAGACTAACGTCTAGAAGTAGATAAATGGTTCTGGAACCAGACTAAGGTATAGAAGTAGATAAATGGTTCTGGAACAAGACTAAAGTCTAGAAGTAGATAAATGGTTCTGGAACAAGACTAAAGTCTAGAAGTAGATAAATGGTTCTGGAACAAGACTAAAGTCTAGAAGTGGATAAATGGTTCTGGAACCAGACTAACGTCTAGAAGTAGATAAATGGTTCTGGAACAAAACTAAAGTCTAGAAGTAAATAAATGGTTCTGGAACAAGACTAAAGTCTAGAAGTAGATAAATGGTTCTGGAACAAGACTAAAGTCTAGAAGTAGATAAATGGTTCTGGAACAAGACTAAGGTATAGAAGTGGATAAATGGTTCTGGAACCAGACTAACGTCTAGAAGTAGATAAATGGTTCTGGAACAAGACTGAGGTATAGAAGTGGATAAATGGTTCTGGAACAAGACTAAAGTCTAGAAGTGGATAAATAGTTCTGGAACAAGACTAAGGTCTAGAAGTAGATAAATGGTTCTGGAACAAGACTAAAGTCTAGAAGTCGATAAATGGTTCTGGAACAAGACTAAGGTCTAGAAGTGGATAAATGGTTCTGGAACAAGACTAAAGTCTAGAAGTAGATAAATGGTTCTGGAACAAGACTAAAGTCTAGAAGTGGATAAATGGTTCTGGAACAAGACTAAAGTCTAGAAGTAAATAAATGGTTCTGGAACAAGACTAAAGTCTAGAAGTGGATAAATGGTTCTGGAACAAGACTAAAGTCTAGAAGTGGATAAATGGTTCTGGAACAAGACTAAAGACTAGAAGTGGATAAATGGTTCTGAAACAAGACTAAAGACTAGAAGTGGATAAATGGTTCTGGAACAAGACTAAGGTCTAGAAGTGGATAAAGAACCAGAACTTTCTGCAGATGTTTACAGCTGGTGAACATGAAGAAGAAGATCTGGAAAGATCTAAATGTGCCAGTTTATTGTGATGCAGTAAAATTGACTCGTGTCACTTTAAATCACCTTTTAAATAGGTTGGCTCCTGGTCATTACGGCAGATAGGCAGCTAACTGTTTTTAAATTGTCAAACTTGTGCCTGTGATAATAGTTAATCGTTGCATTTTCCTCCATTTATAAAAGGGTATAATTCCATCACCTAGCTACTGAGTGCTCGGATGCAGATTTTATTTGGAATACTTTTTGTCTGTGCCCGACATAGCTGTGTTTTGAATTGCTGAATCAGAAAATGGCAATTGGCCTGTTGCCAGAAAACTGGTGATGCCTAATGCGATTAACTCTTTTAGGACGGCATTTATTCTGGGGTTTGAACAGCATTAATTTTAATCGGAATTTTATTAGTTCAACAGGTCACAGCTAAAACCTTCCTGAAGAAAAAGTATGGGCTGAATCGGGACTTATAAAATATCAAATTAAAGATAAATGAGTGCAGAATAAATCTAAACTACTTAAATATCAGTAAAACATCAAAATATTATTAAAATCACACAACATTCAAGGATGTTAGACAAATGTGACAATTTTAAACATAAAAAAATTGTGGGCTAACCTTAGTCTTAACTGGTTTAGCAACATTGCTATCCAATTCTAAGAATACATATGCCTTCTCTGTTCAATTATTTATTAGCTAGTCTTTATTTGAAACAATTAATTTAAATACTTTGGATATTATAATCATTTTTGTATGACATGTCAATTTTCACAACCGAAAATCGAAAAACAGCTGATGGAAACATTGATCTAATTGAAATATTTTGTGAGATTTTCATATCCTAAACTAAATTATCGCTAGTAGATTTGTCCCTTAGATATCATTCATTATATCAAGACTGTTGTCACTGTCTGGCAGGGATTCATCAACGATAGAGCAGTATGAACAGTTCTAGACCTTTTCCTTATCATTTAGTATAGAAAAATCACGTAAAAATTGTATCCTATCTAAATAATTTTTTAAAATCACAAAATAATGCACTGACCACGATGAACATCGCAAATGAAAGTACATCCTGTTGTTAATCCTAATTGTTAAAAAAAACTTGTTCATAAAAGTTCGTTCACCCTACAAACGGAACAAAATTAGAGTGTCTTTATCATGAGCCAGTGAACTGGCTTTACGTCTTTAAGGGATAGACTTAATCGCCAGTATACTGGCTAAACGTCCGTAAAGAGTTAATTGCATGAGCATCTACTTAACTGTTGTAATTTCTATTTCCATCAACCATGCACTGCATTTTTAGTACAGAACTGTCTGTGTTGGCACTTCTGATGGCTGCCTTATGCATTTAATGCATGCGTATAATATTGGCTTTGCTGAGAATGCAGTTTGTGTCGGTTTGTTTCACAGGGAACAGCGATGGACATTCTGTATGCTTTTTATTGGCACAGGAATGGAGCATTAATGAGGGTGATCCTTTTGTTCTTATGTTGAAACTGTGATTATCTGATTACCCTAAAAAGACACTATTCACGCCTGCTGCAGTCCTTTTGGTGAACTGGTGCTATGTTAACAAATAGTTTTCATGATGCAAATTGACAGAATGAGAATATGAGCAATAAATATATTAACTGTATTCCACCATCAGGTCGGTTACAGTAAATAAATGCTCTTCAAAACATATTGCATATCACTCCATCATATGCCCACTAGTAGAACAGGATGTTAATCTGCAATTAAATGTGTTTTTCTTGTTTTGTTTTAATGTTTTTTTACAGACGGATGGCAAGGGAGTCTATGCTACCTCCCTGACTGAAGAGTACATCAAGGCAGCAAGGACTTTCAGCTTAACCAAGCAAATGCTCAAAGAATATGTAATCTCAACTCTTGACCACATTTTTGCAAGTGAAGAAACCAGACAGGTTCTACGAGCACGATTCCAACAGTTTCAGGTTTAACCTCAGGCACAAAACAAAACGAAAGAATACTTTAGTTTATGACAGTTTCAATTAAAAAAGATGAAATAGTGCAAATGTACAGTGTTCTGTTAAACAGTTGATGATGTTTAAAAAAAGCTTAAAAGGCAGCTGATTTATACAATCCGGTGCAGGACATGAGAAATGAAGGGGAGTTAGTGCATTAAGAATGGACACCACAGCACTTAAGACATTCCCATAAACGCTCTGTCATCATCTTCAGCAGTCAGCACAAAGTTCCAGTTCTGATGGTGCCAGTAGCAATTCCATTATTTATAATAAGCAGGTGCACTTAATTGCCATGTTGGAGACAGTGGGTATACACTTCTCTTACCCTCCACCACAACCAACAAATAGGGCACTGGAACCTGCACTGAGAGAGTAAGCATATACAGTGGTACAGCCCCCTGAACATATACTGCAGTACTGCCCTTACCTCTCCCAGCAAAGACTGTGGATCTGGCCCAAAGGAGCCACATTGCAAGAGAAGCTATGGGGGACCGGTGGCGACCTTAAACGCACAATCCTATTTGTGACCCAGACAGGACTCAATGTTTAGCATGACTGATATCGAACGCAGAAAAAGAAGAAGTGGTACAGCAACAGTTTTATCAGTCTTCCTGCCCGGCTCTCTAGCGGAATTGGCTAAACCGGATTTCGCGGAGACCGGGTGACGTACTCCTTGTGGTCCGGGTTCAATCCCGGGGGTAGGCAGGAAAGCCACATTTTCTCCCAGATTTACGGTATTTACAATGGAATCAAGGCCGAAAGGTTGCGATATCCATAATACCGAGCCTAAGGGTTAACAACTCATGGCTTCTGGATACTAAAACAAACAATCAACAATCAGTAGTCTTCCTCAACTGCCAATAAAGGCTGAACACCCGTACTTTTGTCCAGATTTTTAAGTTTTAAGCAGCAGTAGTAATAAGCAACAGTAACAACAACCACAAAAACCCAGAGGCAATAAAATAACAAGGAAAAAAAATGTTCCTTATCTGTTTATTACTAGTCTCAGAAATCATTACTTTGTGTTCAGATTCAATACAAATTTAGCATACAAGTTCATATTGTGATTGGGGGCAGGGGGGGGGGGGGGGAAAATTTCCCCCTCCCTCCAAGTATGCCTTAACAGCTGACTAATTAAGGGGTGTTTCTTTCGAAGTCAGAGTGCATCTGCATGAGAGGTGAGGAACCAACAGTCTGCTTACAAATAATCAGGATCTGTAAAATGGATGTGCATGCAAAGTTCAGAGTTTAAGACCAAAGTCCAGAAGTGGACGAGCATCCAGAACTTTCCGCTGAGTTAACAACCGGCAACCACTAAGAAAAAGAAAAGTAGAATACAGACGAATATGCAACTATAAATTTATCGTCATCAGGGCCTAATACTGCTAAAAACATTATTTCTTTTTATATCTCCTTCTGTTTGTAAGATTCTATTTTAAGTTGCCTTTTACATTCTAATGAATCCTTACTGTCATCAGCAAGCACAAGTACACACACATATGTACATATACACTTACAACACCCACCCCCCCCCCCCCCCCCCCTCCCACAAACCTTTCTCAGTTGCAGTCATAATCAGTTCATACTTTCTCTGTTATATAAAGTAAACGTCGTCATCAAGAGCTGCAACAAATAGGGCTCAAAAAAGTTCCCAAGTGGGATTGGGGGGGGGGGGGGGGGGGGGTTACAGTTTAGCTGTAAACCACTGCACAATGTGCTAACCATTCTTCTGGGGCGGGGGGAGGGAGTTGAAAAAATTAATTACTGTTGCTGGAATGGGGAAATGAGCAAGGAGCTGGTTGCAGTGACCACTGAAAATAACATTTCTGATGTGCTGTGGAAAGGCTGTTTGCCTTGCACTCTCCGAAGGTCATGTGTTCGTTTCAAGCCTGCTTCATTTGGTTCACAAGTGCAATTTTATGCAAATTCCTGGGATTGTTGCTAAAGTAATGGAGTTCATGCTCAGTGTGACGCTCTCGGCAGGTGGCTAGATACTGACCAAAAGGGATAGGCTTTTATGTCAAGAGGTTTCTCTTACTGATACTTTGGAAGTCAGAAATGCCAAAGAGTTAAAACAGGTAAAATATAGCACACAAGAGTTTACTTTCTCTGGTCTGTCTAGTCTTAGTCCATTTTCTCTGGTCTGTCTAGTCAATGTTCATTTTCTCAGGTCTGTCTAGTCTTAGTAATCCATAACCCTCTCTGGTCTCTCATTATTGTTCACTTTCTCTAGTCTGTCTAGTTTAGTCATTGTTCACTTTCTCTGGTCTGTCTGGTCATTGTTGCATTTCTCTGGTCTGTCTAGTCTTAGTTATTGTTCATTCTTTCTGGTCTGTCTAGTTTTAGTTTTTGTTCATTCTCTCTGGTCTGTCTAATCTTAGTTTTTGTTCATTCTCTCTGGTCTGTCTAGTCTTTATTCATTTTCTCTGGTCTGTCTAGTCAATGTTCACTTTCTCAGGTCTGTCAAGTCTCAGTCTTTGTTCACTTTTTCTGGTCTGTCTAGTCTTAGTCATTGTTCACTTTCTCTGGTCTGTCTAGTCTTAGTCAATGTTCACTTTCTCTGGTCTGTCTAGTCTTAGTCAATGTTCACTTTCTCTGGTCTGTCTAGTCTTAGTCAATGTTCACTTTATCTGGTCTGTCTAGTTTTAGTCATTGTTCACTTTGGTCTGTCTAGTCCTAGTTAACTTTCTCTAGTCTGTCTCATTATTGTTCACGTTGTCTAGTTTAATGATTGTTCACTTTCTCTTGTCTGTCTGGTCATTGTTAACTTTCTCTGGTCTGTCTGGTCATTGTTAACTTTCTCTGGTCTGTCTAGTCTTAGTTATTGTTCATTCTCTCTGGTCTGTCTAGTCTTAGTCATTGTCATGTTGTGAGTGTTCTAACTGTGTTTCTACTCTTTAAACTCAAATGTGCTCTTTACTACTTTCACACATTTCTTTGCTCTTTTTAACCTTCTTGCATGCTTTGATTTTTATATTTCTTACATGTTTTTAGCACACTAAAAGCACAGTTAGCCCTTGTCTAACATCTCCAGTGACCGTTTCATGTAGGTTTCCATGTCAAACATGTCTGATAATGCTTCCTGAACCATTTCTGTGAAAAGACTGGGCCAGATTTTCAGCAGCTCTATTCTTTTTCTTTCATTAAATAATGCCTCTTTGGTCAGTTCTTTCACATAGTTTTGAGAGAAAGTCTTCTTGCTGTGTGTGTCCTGAAATGTAGAAAATCATTAATCAAGTTCAAGCATTTAAAACTAAACGAAAAGTACCATTCAACAACTCTAATTTTCCAGTAATGACATACATTAACTAAGATATCGAATGAGATATTTAAGAAATGTTGCGAAGAAGAGATCATGTAAAAAATGAATTGATTAAAAGAACCACTGACAAAATCCCCACCAATTTAATTCGTTAAGAAACAAAGACTGAAATGGTTCAGTCACCTAGTGTTAATAAATACAGCAATGCCGGTAGCAAGAGTGTACAACATGAACACAGAAATGCCCAGAGGCAAAGGGATGACTACAAGAAGATGGATTAAAGGAGTGTTTGACAGCTTTAGATGTTACAACATTAAAGACATACCAGAAACTCAAGCACTCCCTAGCTCAGCTATATACCAGACACTCGAGCACTCCCTAGCTTAGCAATTTACCAGACACTCTAGCACTTCCTAGCTCAGCTATATACCAGACACTCTAGCACTTCCTAGCTCAGCTATATACCAGACACTCGAGCACTCCCTAGCTCAGCAATATACCAGACACTCGAGCATTCCCTAGCTCAGCAATATACCAGACACTCTAGCACTCCCTAGCTCAGCAATATACCAGACACTCTAGCACTTCCTAGCTCAGCTATATACCAGACACTCGAGCACTCCCTAGCTCAGCAATATACCAGACACTCGAGCATTCCCTAGCTCAGCTATATACCAGACACTCGTGCTCTTCCTAGCTCAACTAAATACCAGACACTCAAGCACTCCCTAGCTCAGCCATAAATCATGTTAAATTGCAATACCTAGCAGCTCAAAGTAGATATTGACAAAAGAACAAAAATAATGATTGACACCCATTTCCCATCAACTCTAACATCCAGCCACTGTCAATCATCAACTCTGATATTATTCAGTCACTGTCAATCATCAACTCTGATATTAATCAATTACTCTCAGTCTTCAACTCTGAGACATGCATTTTATGAGCCAGTTTTCTTCCATGTGTAAATCTTGCATGGTGTCAGTATGTTTCTTCTTCTGTTTGATCCATGACATTTGAAGAACTTTTCTGAAACATTTCAGTTGAAAAGCCCTGATTTCTTCACTTCTTGTGAAATGGTCCATGATGACATCCATGTCAAGCCATTACCATGATGACATCCATGTCAAGCCATTACCATGATGACAGCCATGTCAAGCCATTAGCATGATGACATCTATTTCAAGCCATTACCATGATGACATCCATGTCAAGCCATTACCATGATGACATCCATGTCAAGCCATTACCATGATGACATCCATGTCAAGCCATTGCCATGATGACGTCCATGTCAAGCCATTACCATGATGACATCCATGTCAAGCCATTACCATGATGACATCCATGTCAAGCCATTACCGTGATGACATCCATGTCAAGCCATTACCATGATGACATCCATGTCAAGCCATTAGCGTGGTGACCCTGACTGTTAAAGGAGCACTTGGTTCTGCCCTAAACTTCTTCTTCTTTTTCTTCTCTTCCACCTTGTACCTTATTGAAGTGCCGGCGAGGGGGGGGGGGGGGGGGGGGGGGGGGGGTGTAACATTCGGTGTTGAGTTCTATCAAGAGCACTATTAAAACTGATGTTCATTTCTGTAAGGCTGTTCTTAATGTTATAACTCCATATTTTCGAGGTCTTCCACGTGCTCTAAACCCGTTGTAACGTTTTAGTGTGGTTTGCTGTGACAGATAGTACCAGGGCATCCTTCAATCACTTGTTCTTCTTTATTGCCACATCCACATATACTGATTGTCCCTACCCTGGTCTTAACCTTCTGCTGGCCTCTATTTTCCCTATTTCTAAAACATCTCCTATTTTCATTTGGGCATTTCTTTTTGAACTGCTGAATTCTCCGCCGACTGTTCGGGTCTGTCGCAAATTCATCTTTAACTGAACAACTACACTAATCTAACACATTTAACATTCTTTCCAGGAATAAACACATCTTTTAGTCACAATTTTCAGCCAACGTTGTTTACACCGCCATCTTGGCCAGATCTCTCCTGCTCTAAACAACTGGGTAAAAAAGTCTGGGTGGGGGGGGGGGGGGGTGTGACCTAGAAGGAGCTGATCACACCACCTCGTTAAGCAGTAAAAAGGACAATTTTTAACACCATGGAACTTGTGGGTAATATGGTCAATACTATGATGGCTACCTTTACCTTCCAGGACATTACCTGGTATACATGTTAGGTTGAGTCAGCTTGATAGCCAAGGTTAAAAGAAAAAAAAGTCACAATGTGAATCCCAACTCAAGGCAAGCATCTGCACAAACTAATGACCAAGTAAATAGGGAAATCCTTAACATTTAGCATGCTAAAGTAAACCTTGTATGTACGTTAGTATACAGGTTAATATACTGGGGGCTGCGTTAGTGCAGTCGATAAGAGACTCGCTTTTAAATCCAGCGGCGACTCGCTGCAGCCCACGGCTAGTGTTCGAAACCAGGCGGTTCCCGGGGTTCACCCAGCCTCTAGGAAATGGGTACCAGAGTTAACACTCTGGGGTAAATGGAGGAACGTCGCTGTAGCTACAGAGTCGCCTGTGGACGGCGACACAGGCGGACAGTTTCTTATCAGCTGTCCCTACTGGTGGCAGGGCACTTATGGTTTATGACGCTGTGCAATGACGCTGTGCAATGACGCTGTGCAATGACGCTGTGCAATGACACTGGTTCACATCTCCCGACTTTCCCTTTACGGTTACAGTGAAAGAACCCAGCAGTTATTTATTTCTATTCTCTGCTCAAACTTAAGCTGGAGTGCTTGTTTTATATGGCTTCTCTGCCGATCCAGACCACACATATTGTTTCAAGGAATTAGTTATTTGTATGCATCTTGGATGGTAGAGGAAAAACTCCACACAAAATAATGCTAGCAATGGCCACAGAAAGACTCAATTTGAAGCAGTCCTCCACGAGATATAAACTGGTTTGATATAAACAGCCAAGATTGTTTCTTTCAACGTCTGAGTGCATCTGTCTGAAAAGTTAGGAACCAAACAAGCCTGTACACAAATAAGCCAGATCTGTAACAGAGATGTACATGCAAAATGCAGTTTCTGAAACAACACCAAAGTACATGACAAACTAGAACTTTCCATCAAAGTTGGCAGCCGGTGAAAACTAAAAAGAAGAAGATTTACAAAAAAAATAATATAAAAAAACCCAGCTCTAGAATGCACTTTTGTGCGAATCAAATATTTAAAAATTTTAATTTCTTCAGCTATTAAAAAATATGGGGTCTGTGGCAGACCTTGTAAAAACAAAAGGGGTCTTCAGGTCTTAGATAACTGAGAACCTCTGATGAAAACCAAACAAGTCTGCATTTTGTTGGAAATATAAATTTAACAAAGTAGTTTCCCGTGGCAGGGCCACAGTAGGTACAGGAATAGTTATGGACCGGGCTGACATTCTCAATGCTCTCAAAAAGGCAGGAGGAAAAGATGATTCAGGGGATGACGGTGAGTCTGCAACACTCAAAAGACTACAAGAACTTCAGGTCAAAAGAGGTGTCACCAAACATGAACACTATACAGGTAGCCAGAGAAGAATAGTAAACCAACACAGAACTGGTGTTATCAGTATTCACAACACACTGGGGGATATACTTAAAATGGGATCTGAGCACTTATGGACTTGTCCGATGTGCAGTGAAAATAATCACTCGATTAAGTTTCACAAAACAAGACAAGGCTAACAAAAAATTTGTGAAACTTAACATAATTATTCACTTACCAAGACCAAGAACAAGATGGAAGGATAACATCAGAGAAACTCTACAACAGCACGATGTGCCTATGGTCGAGGTGGCCAGAAGAGCTAGAAACAGAACCTTATATCTCCCTCGACACCCACAGCGGTAAAAGAGGATAGTGAAGAAGAAGAAGAAGAAGATTCACTTACATGTTTTGATTCTGTTGGCATGTAGCCTAGACTAGCCCTCCCAATCCATTCCATCTGAGATTTGTCTGCCATGGCTTTTCCCATGTCTACCAGCTTCTTGCCTTCAACAAATGCCTGTTTTCGTTTGCTGTCCCCAGTGAGTGAGAGCAGGCGGTACTGGGGTAGCTGAGTATGAGCAACACGTGACAGAGGCCCAAACAACTTCTCAGCACTGACCATATCACTAGAGGACACCTGAAACAATTGGAGGTGGACAGTTCATTAAGCCAAGTGAAAGTTCTGGAACAAGACCAAAGTCCAGAACTGGACCAACAACCAGAACTTTCCATCAGTTGACAGCAAGTGGACATGAAGAAGAAGATTTAGCTACTGTGTTTTCACAGGATCCACATGGGAGGTATAGAGAAAAACTAACTTATGATGGATGTCTATAAGAGGTGAAACAGAGGGCTGGTTTAGGACTGAATTTTGTAGAAATCTTAAGCTGCAAAATTGCATCAACTATAAAGTTAGAAAGGGGAGGAAAGAGAAGTTATTCTTCAAGAAGTATAACGTGTTATGAAAAAAGTCTTCATACTTAATTATATAACAAGATTTTTAAATGTCCCAACTGCCTGTGTGGGTTCCAGGACCCTAATAAAAGGGGACACCAAAAAAAAAAAGAATAGACCCACTGCCTACCCAGAAGCATGTTGTACTGGTCGACTAATTGGGAGCTTCCTTTGAAGGCAGAGTGCATCCGCCTGAGAGGCAAGGAACCAACAGTCTGCATACTAATGAGTCAGATCTGTAAAATGGATGCGCACGCAACGTTCAGATTCTAGTTCAGAACTGCAGTTCAGAAGTGGACGAACAATCAGAACTTTCCACCGGAGTTTACAGCTGGTGAACGCGAAGAAGAAAAAGAAGATGATGTCCCAACAATTAAGATTTTTTAGATATATCTTTCCTTTGAGACATCTAGATATTTTACCAGCGCAGCCAGAGGTGTGAGGTAATGAGCTGGCCTCAAGAATGACAATATTACTGTGTGATCTCTGTGAATTTTATTGGTACAAATATTTTTAACGGTGACTAAAGGTAAGTACTACACTCTATTTCATCCCACCTAGTTCAGTCTCTCTCTCTCTCTCTCTCTGCAGTGTAGCTGACTGCCCAGATATCAACAAGGTGTGAGTTGCACAGCTCCAGGTACAAACATTTGGATCTCCAAACAATTACATTCATAACACAGTCCAAAATTAACTCACGTCTTTCAGAATGTGAGCCAAACAGCTTCACCCTTACGCACACTAAAAAAAAAAGGCCATAACCAAGTTAGAATTCCAGAAAAATCCAGTAAAAAACTAAAAAAAATTATATAGCTCACTAAAACATTCTTTAAAAATGTATGTATCTATATTTAAAATTGTATTGTTGAAATATTCAAAGATATACTAAAGGAGTAATCAGTCAACACAAACAGAATTAACCATTCAATGGAATACATCTCCAGGGAATTTAAAAAAAAAAAAAGCATCAGGTGGCTTATGCCATGACCTCTATCACTGAGACTTACGGGATATTTTGACCTCAGCTTGGCTTTAAAAAAGCTATTTAACTCAAAGGCAACACTCCCACCCATGCCAAATGCTAATGCTAGTTAATGTATTCATACCCCAACCTCCTAAACGTTTGGACAGGCGTAAAAACATCTATTAGCATTAACTATGCATTTCATACAAAGATCATTACAGACAAGCTGGAAAATTGACATTTACGGGGAATTGGACCGAACATAAGTTTTTTTTTTTTTAAGCTTCATGAGGCCTCACAGACTATCGATTTTGAGAAACAATTCAAACAAGACCATTACAGCTAGAAAAAATCTTATTAACTAAACGTGGGTAACTTAATCATTGAACTAGAAATACAATTGTTATGAGATAGGAATATTGCAACCTTTAATTCTAATCTTAATAAAAATGAATCTTCTAAGGAATTTTCTTATCTCTTTGACATGCAGGACATGACATTCTTACCTCAATATCATTGATCTTCTTGAGAGCAAAATGTGCTAGCCTAAACAAGGCATACAAACGCCACAGTGTAAACTTTGTCACTGGGTTTCCATCCAGGTCAATGGTCAGGTTATCCAGTCTCCGTACCAGAGCTAATGCATTGATCTGCTGTAGACTGTGAATGTTCGTCGAACAAAAGATCAGCGTCTTAAAAAGACAAAACAAAGAAACAAATTGTACATTCAAGTCTACTTAATCCATACAGAACAGAATCTTCTGTAACTTGTACAGCAGCCATGATGACACAGTAGTTAGGAGCTTGTCTGTCAGCCTGGAGGTTCTCACTTTGAATCTTCACGTTCACTGGTGGAAAGTACTAGTTGTTCATCCACTTCTGGACTATGGTCTTGTTCTACTACTTGAGATTTGTATGCACATCCGTTTACAGACCTCTCTTATTTGAATGAAGGCTGCTGGTTTCAAGCCTCTCAGGCAGATGAGTTCTGAGTTTGACAGAAAAGCCCCTAATTAGTCACCTGTTTCAACCACTTGTTTCGAGAGCAGTGGGTCTATTCTCTCTCCACCCCCCCTCCCCTCCCCAATGGGGCCTGGAGCCTAAACAGGGAGTATAAGAGAGCTGCATGGTCTCGAGGCATGGTATCCATCTTGAGTGCTGGAGGTCCGGGGTTCAAGCCGCGGCAAAGGTTGGGATTTTTTTCCACGTGGACTTCTCGTAATTTCCCCTGGTCTCTGGATAGTAAGATCAGGTCTAATCAGTTAGTATGTGATTCGCAGCCAGCGTGAGAGGTTGTATTTGTTGTGAATGTGACATGGTATAGCTGAATAGCGTGGAGAAGATTGTTTTCGACAAGATGACTGCCCAGCCAGAATCCAGTCAAGTTGCAAACTAGCCTGATGGAGGAGCTGAACAGCCAGCGGCCAGAGATGCTTCTGTGAGACCTGTTCATGTGGCGCGATTGAGACGTGAAGATTGCACAGGGAGCGAACGGAAATGACTGTGAACATGAACAGCGGTGAAGAACTTTGTCATTGTTACTTGTTGAATATTTGGACATGTTAGAGAGTGGCTGATGGTGACTGAATCAGATTGTCTTCTGTCAGTAATAAACATATAAACTGTGCTTGTATCTCCTCAATAATATCTTTGTGTGTCAATTCATCATGTGTGTCAGCCAGAGTACCATCCCCTAGGAAACAGCTAGAGCACATAAGGAGAACAACGTCGCACTCTGGCTCTCAAGCAGGAGACCCAGAATTGACCTCTGGTAAGGTGATGGAGTTTTTCTGCCAGAAGCAAAAATAAACATCCTAACATCCACAGTCCGTGGTGGCAGCACTAGCCATGTGGCTCTCAATCCTCAGACTCCTGACCTCCCTTTCTATACCTCCATAAAGAGCGGTAAATACAGACAGAAGGAACAGTATTTTTTTTTTTACATAGAAGTTTGTAGGTCTATAAGGTGTCTTGCTGCCATCAAACCAAATGTCTCCTGGCTACTAGCTAACACAGGTGACATCATTTTCTCAGACTTTATTAACATATTTAAAATAAGTGTAAAGTTATTATAAACTATTATTTACAGGTCAATATAACCAAGCTATAACATAACATTTTACAACTTAACAAAAATTGCAGACTTCATCCATGTTTATATTCTTTTTTTAAGTTGCCAACCTGCTGACTGTTTCTTCTTCTTCTTCCCTTCCTCTTTTACTTCTCCGAGTGTCGAGGGGGATTTAAGGTTCTGCTTCTTTCTCTTCTGCCGCCTCGACCATGGACACATCGTACTGTTGTAAAGTTCCTCTGATGTTCTCCTTCCATCTTGTTTTTGGTCTACCTTGTACTCTGCATCCTTCTCCTCTTTTAATGTATGCCTTGTATGGTAAGGCATAACAAGGCATTCTCTTTAAGTGGACAAACCGTTTGATTTACTGTCTCTGTACGCATTTTAGAATTGGTTCTGTGCCAGTTTTTTCTCTTATGATCACTCCTGTTGCAGACATTTCATTTTCATGGTTACTAACTTTCTTTTCTGGTTTGTTGTGAATGACCATGTCTGGCACCTGTAGCACAGAGTGGGAATGAATATATTTTGTATGAGATGTGTCTTGATGCTGACTGGGATTGCCTTATGCTGTAGGAGGGGACTAGGGGGTATGGAGTGTCAGTTATTGGTATTACCTCTGGTTGGAAAGCTTGTCATGTCCTCTATAGGACAGCTTGTTAACCGTTGGTCCAAAACTGACACACAGCTCTCACCTGTGGCTCCATGTAGCTGTCAGCATGCGACAGCGGCCACCCCCCCCCCCCCCCTTTTCCCCTGGGCTACAGCTTTGACAGGCCTGCAAAACCAGGTGAGAGTAGCTGTGTTTTTTGCTTTTTTTTTAAATTTTTACTATTGGTGAGTTAGGATCTGTCTATCCAAGCATGCAAAGACTACTGTCTGCAGAATGGGCGGAGGAAACCACATTTGGTTCAACTGGCAAAATGGAGACACTAGCAAAGCGCTGTGGAGCGCAAAGAGCATGTCCAGGCACATAGAACGCCCTGGTTATCAACTGCACCAAGATCTATCTCCAGTCATCTTGACTCTGTCTTGCCACTGGACCCAGATATGACTCAGGTGAGAGAGTGAGATCCACGACACTGCGCAACTCTTCCTCACTTTAATCCAAGTCATCGCTCAAGTCACTCTTTCATCTTGATGAAAAAAGAGTGGTCATCATCATCTTGATGGACAACACACATACACACACACAAGGGGATTAGCTTTCCCAGTACTTTCCATACCGCTTACAGAGACTAATCTCTACACAAAATTACCTGAGTAGCTGGAAATCTAACTCGAATTTTGGGCAGCTGTCGAACGATGGCATCAAAGTCGATAAATTTAAAAATAATGACAGTGACTACACCAGCTGCCTGGATGCCCCAGTTTCTGTCGAATGCTTCCAAAGACTGAGATCCATACAAAGAAAGTGTGTCTCCTTCTATCTGCTCCAGCATGTTCAAACTGTCACCAATAATTGTGCTACTGCTTCTGCAATTAAATAGTCAACAATTTTCAGTCACAAAGGAAAAAAAAAGAGAAAAAAAAGTACAAAGGACTAGGGCTGTACCGAATATTCGCTTCGTATTCGCTTCGGGGCCGAATAGTGGACCCAATAACTATTCGGTATTTGGCCGAATAGTTGCGGTCGGGCCAAATACAAATAGTGGTTACCTCACAACCGTTTCTGGACTGGTGGAAAGAAAACATCAAGACTTCTCACCTTGGTTTATACTGTGAAGCGTTATCTTTGTGCACCACCTACGAGCGTACCAAGTGCCCCTTTATTTCCATCTTGCATGTGTTGCGAGTATAGTGTTTTTAGGTGTGTTGCTGTATAAACAAAATGCAACACTTAAAAATGTAAGAGGGGCAGAAAAGCAAGTGTTCTAGTGTTGTCGGCTTGATTTCTTTGAGTGGAGTGTCCTCTTCGTTGATTCTTTGAAGTAACGGGAGTTCGTCATCATTTATGGGTGTCGTATCTGTTCTTTCGTTGTCTCGTGGAAACGGCAGCGGCTGAATGTTTTGATCGACGTTCGGTTTCTTGATTGTCTTTGTTGTTTGATCTTCTGGCGTTGGCCGCCCGGCGTCTGGTTTCGTGAGCTTGGAGGTGTGTCATCACACGAACTAATACGTGCTGCAGGAGATCGCAGATTGTGGCGAGGCATAATCGCCCATGCCAGCCGGCAAAGCACATGATGATGATGATTCACTATTCGTATTCGGCCGAATAGTTGGTCCAGCTATTCGTATTCGGCAGAATAGTGAAAATCACCATTCGGTACAGCCCTACAAAGGACCCACATTCCCACATTCTAATGTTTGTTTAGTTTTTCCTGGCAGCCATATTTTTTTAGGCATAATTTCTTTTTTGGCAGCGGCGCTGTAACAGACCCTACATGGTGAGTGTTGGGTTCATGACTTCTTGAGGTGAAAAGGTTAACAGCAACTGTCTTCATACAAACAGTTTATAAGTTTCATTTCAATCTTCACATTTTTTCAAAAACAAGAATGAGCAATATGATGGAAAAAATACAACGTTAATTAAGAAACAAAATGATCCATGAAAAGTTGTGTAAATGAGTTATGAGATGTTGAAGAAACGCAAGGCAACTGAGATGTTGGTTTTGAGAAAAATGTCTAGAATATGGTGTGTGACTTGCCCTTTCCTTGTGTTCTGACCATCAAATTCTACGTTCTTTGACCATTTATATTTGGTGAGATGACACTAAAGAAATCTGAATTCTCCACAGTTGTTTTAATTGCATAGCCAATGTCTTTTGGACTAATGCAGTAGCGATTTATTATAGTGACTATTTCTGTCACTGGACACCATCTAAAAAAGCTACTGTGAATGATTCAGCTTTTAAGACATGCCAGTGGCAATAAACTTTGACAAATACACACACATGGACCATAGGCTTTAAATAAACTCATGCCAAGTCCTTTGCTGACGAGTTCAAAGGTGGTTAAACTTAGTTAGTTTTCTACTTGTTTGTGCACACCTTTATTAGTCAGCTGATATTTAATGTAGGTTACAGTGTTAACTCTTTCACCCTAGGAATGCTATACCAACTAGGCCATAAGCTGTGAGAATTCGCCCCCCCCCCCCCCCCCCAAAAAAAAAAAATCCTTAAAAAGAAAACTTTACACAGGACACTGATACATTTCTTAAATATGAATTTATCCACACTGAAATTTGTTTTTGAAATATTTAAAGATATATATAAAAGGAGTAATCAATAAACACCATCAGAATGAAGCACTGAGCCTTATATATATACACATACATACATATATATATATATATATATATATATATATATATTGATATATAAATATTTATATATAAATATATATAAATACACACATATATTCACACACATATATTGAGGGGCTCAAGCCATAATCCCATGACCTCTACCACTGGGGCTACAAAAAATGTTGATATCACAATGGCTTTAAAAAAGCAGTTTGGTTCACAAGAAAAACCCTAAAACACTATTTTGAATAAATATGTTTATAGCTGGGCACAAGTGTAAACAGAAACAATGTCATTTAACCTTCTGATAACCAATCGCTGCAGAAATGCCAATACATCAGCATTTACAGGGTTCTATTTTAGGCCTTTGTAACACATGGCAGCTATCTCAAGTTAAATTTCTGTAAGAGAATAATTTTTTTAATGGATATCGCTGATCCCAACTTACATCATACCAGCATCTCCTGCACCTCCATTGTTCCTTTGAAGATATTTAGCTTCTCGCTTCCGACTGGCACTCTTCACACGTTCTCTAGGTCCATCATCAACAGGACTTTCAGTGTCTGTGACTGTGCTGTAAGCACTGTCAGGTCTGCTTCTCAAGTCACTGTTGAATATGAGAGAAAGAAGGTACTTAAGGGGTCACTACACCAAAAAAAATTATTTTTTTTATTTACAGAGTTAGAGCAGTTATTTTATAATGGTCATTTGTAGGGATACAAGTTATTACATTTGTATACTTTAAGTGTTAAAAAATTCATAGTTGTCATGGCAATAGCCGCCATCTTGTGAAAAAAACAATATGTACTTAGGATCCTAAAATTTTCAAAACAAACATAGGTATTCAACAATAGATGATGGATTCATGACCTTTTATCCTATTTACAGACAGATATTTAGCTTCTCGCTTCCGACTGGCACTCTTCACACGTTCTCTAGGTCCATCATCAACAGGACTTTCAGTGTCTGTGACTGTGCTGTTAGCACTGTCAGGTCTGCTTCTCAAGTCACTGTTGAATATGAGAGAAAGAAGGTACTTAACTGTTTCAGGCCCATGAATTTTGACAGACTTGGTTCACATTAATTTTTCCTTACAAAAATGGCAAAGGGGTGGTGTTAAAAAAAGGCAACTGAGAAATTTCTGTATGGAATAGTGCTCATGTATGGAACAGTGTCTTTTGTATGGGATAGTGTTTCATGTATGGGATAGTGTTCTCATGTATGGAGCAGTGTCTCATGAATGGAATGGTGTCTCATGTATGAAATAGTGTCATGTATGGGATAGTGTCTCATGTATGGAATAGTGTCTTATGTATGGAATAGTGTCTCATGTATGGGATAGTGTCTCATGTATGAAATAGTGTCTCATGTATGGAATAGTGTCTCGTGTATGGGATAGTGTTCTAATGTATGGAATAGTGTCTCATGAATGGAATAGTGTTCTCATGTATGGAATAGTGTCTCATGAATGGAATACTGTCATTCTGCAGGAGATCACAGATTATGGAGAGGCATGATCGCCCACGCCAGTCGGCAAGGCACCTGATGATGATGATGATGACAGATGTAAGCACTTTTCTGCTGCCAAAAAAAAAAAATCAGTTATTCACATAAAGAAAGAAACATACACAGTGATCTACCTTGTGAAGGACTCAAGTTCCAGGCTATCCACTTCACCAGCAAATGGAGACACCAGTTCAGTGTTGGGAACAGAGCCGATGTGGTTGGCATAGAGTTCAGTTATCCCTTGGTTCATCTTCAACAGGCGACCGCTGTGAGGTACTGAGACCTGCATTGTCTCCCATTGACGTCTGGCATTGCTAATGGCCACGCGTCTCTTCTCCTTAAATTTAGACGTAAGTGAATGAGCTATTTTCTATATTTATACATTTCTCTTAAGTAAGTAGTGAGATGGCTGAACAGTTAGGAACATTAGGCTCTCATGTGTAAAAACCCAGGTTAAAGTCATCTGTAAAAATGTGGATTTTTCTGTTGAAGGCAAAAATAAAATCCTAACCTGAAGTACGTGGTGACAACACTAACCATACCGCCCTAAATCCTCAGGCTCAATGACCTGTGCCTACACCACAACAATGGCAAATACAGACAGTAATGGCAGTTTGTTTGTTTGTTAAATATCAGGCTTATATCTGTTGACAGTAAAACACCTCAAATCTATAGAGGAAACATTTTGCAGCCTATGCATAATTTCGGTTAATAATGTGGTTAGTCATAACCTATATTTACTACAATATATATCTCTCCGTGGGAGCCACAGTAATGTAACTGCTAGATGCTTGCCTTCTGGCTTAAAGGTATAATGTTCAAATCCGCATTGAGGCAAATAAGAAAAAATAAAAAAACTGCACCAGGTTCCAGGCCGAAATATCCTTGGAAGTCACGTCAGCTGGTGTGCAGTAGACCACATCACATATCGAGTGCTGACTGGTCTGTAAAAACATAGGTATAGCACTATCTGATGCTTTCACTACTTGTCATAGGTCTCTCCTCAAATGTGAAGTTCCAGTACTAGTTTTGCACACCCTGCTGGTATCTGGCAATGAATATGGGAGGGAGAGCTCTCCTTTATGGTCCTTTGGGAGATAGCACTTTGGTACCAGCTCAGGAAAGGAGGCCCCAGGGCTTCGACAGCCTCTACAACAATGCACTGAACGTTAACAAACTCCAGAGGTCTTCCAGGGAATTAACCAGTGTGCTTATATTTAGGCCAAGAGTGAAAAACTAACTACACTCGAGGCAGACATTTAAAAACAAAATGTCCAGTGGTTTCTACCTATGCAGCCTCATTGTCCACAACAGAAAATCATCTTGATCATCTTGTATGTAGTCCATACATTTCAATGTTTATGTCAGTCTCTACGTGTCTTTTTCATTTCCAAAGAAAACAAACTTTAAAAAAAAAAAAAGTAAAACATTGCGTTATTTGAAAAGAAATGGTGGAGAATATTATCGAAACTGATTGAGAACTGACGGAGAACCCCGGGATCTGTGGAGATTTATCAATGTCTACATTATTTGAAAAGGCATATGATGATGATGATGGTGGTGGCATGCTATGCCAGTCTCTGCTTGTGGAGAATGTAACAGTGAATTCAGTCCTACCCAGTGGACTCAGTCCTACCCAGTGAGTCACTCCTACCCAGTGGACTCAGTCCTACCCCGTGGACCCAGTCCTACCCAGTGAGTCAGTCCTACCCAGTGGACTCAGTCCTACCCAGTGGACTCAGTCCTACCCAGTGAGTCAGTCTACCCAGTGGACCCAGTCCTACCCAGTGAGTCAGTCCTATCTAGTGAGTCAGTCCTACCCAGTGAGTCAGTCCTACCCAGTGAGTCAGTCCTACACAGTGGACCCAGTCCTACCCAGTGAGTCAGTCCTTCCCAGTGAGTCAGTCCTACCCAGTGGACTCAGTCCTACCCAATGAGTCAGTCCTACCCAGTGAGTCAGTCCTACCCAGTGGACCCAGTCCTACCCAGTGAGTCAGTCCTACCCAGTGGACTCAGTCCTACCCAGTGGACTCAGTCCTACCCAGTGAATCAGTCCTACCTAGTGGACCCAGTCCTACCCAGTGAGTCAGTCCTACCCAGTGAGTCAGTCCTACCCATTGGACCCAGTCCTACCCAGTGAGTCAGTCCTAAACAGTGGACTCCATCATACCCAGTGGGCTCAGTCCTACCCAGTGAGTCAGTCCTACCCAGTGGACCCAGTCCTACCCAGTGAGTCAGAACCCTAGTGATTTCTACCTGTGTAAACCTCAGTGACCAGAAGATCATTCTGCATGCAGCCCATACAATGATTAGCCATGTCCAGTAAGCCATTCATGACTCAACACCAGAAGGATAACTGAGAAAGGAGAAGAGGAGCAGTAGGAGAGAGAAGAAGAAGTTCATAAAAATTAACCCCTGTAGTCTTCGGACTGAACAATTTAATATGACAAAACAGTTTATATGCATAACAAGACAATCATTAGACTCCATGCATAATGGAAAAGAAATGCACAGAAAAACAATGAATAAAAACACTGAATAATATAGAAAAAAAAAGAAAGCCCACTCCATTCAAAAAATTTAACCATTAATAATACACTGTTTTATACAACAGACTTGACAAAACATCTATCAATTAAGTTATTTTACGTGAATAATAAAAGATTGGTTACATATCCAGCTTTGAGACATGAGACTGTTGCCACACACTGCATGTCTAAGTTGAAAAAAAAAAATCTGTGATGAACTAAAGGGAACAAACATTCACAATTTATATGTTTCAAGATGTCTGACTTGCTCCAGTTTGTGCTGTTAATGCAATCAATTCTAAAACACTCACAGACAAAATCAAATAGACTCCAGCTAGCTGAAATTGAAGCAAATGATAATAGAAAAAATTACAGCACCAAAAGTAATCAGAATCCACCATTTCACTGATTCTGTGACTACTGTTAAACAAGCTTATGAAAATCAAAGCAATGTTTTTTCATTGTAAATTTGAACAAAGAAGACACAAACAAAAGATTGCACAATTTACTGCCAGGCATATTTCACTACATCTCATTAGCTGGACACCGCAGTAACAATTTATTATGATGAGGCAATTAAATGATTCTTCTAACTGAAAAACACAATCAACTACAATTAAAATGAACTGCCTTTTTAACCAGGCAAATACAGGTTTACGACCATATCTTATTGTCTGCCCAAATTTGAAGGAAAGCAATTTATCGTTGTGACATTAGTTAATGTATTGAGAATTTGAAATGAGATGTCCTTGATGCAGTGTGGTCAGAACTTAAAAGGTGGCATTCAATGGACGATGGGTGATCTTTTTGACCGCTTATGAAATCCTCCGGGAAATATACTCTGAGGCCAGCAATTGCATGTGGCATAATTTATTAGTTTCTTTAATAAATGTTAAAGCTCGTCACACAACAGATATTTTCAGAACAACAAGAAATACTGCTATCACACTTAAAACAAGTTGTTTATTTTGCTATGACTTAAGTTTCCTTATTTCATTTTCTAATGAAACATCAATCAACTTTTTTGCAGATTGCTTGGATATTGCAGCTAAAGTCTAATAACATGATAATCAGTTTGACACCTACCTTTTTTAACAAATGGAAATGTTAACTCTATCATCTTTGTAAACAATATGAATTAAGGACATTTAAGACATTCTACATCCTCACAGGGAGCCACAGTAATGTACCAGATAGACACTCTTCTGCCAGCCCAAATGTCTAGAGTTAAAAACCTCACTGAGGTGAATTTTTTCCTCCAAAACTGACCTTGGCTCTCAGTCTGACCTAATCTAAAATGGAAATCAGGCAATATGGTGAGAGGTAAAAGTGGCCAGGGTGATGTTGGACACATCAACCAATGAGTGCTGATTGTTCTATAAAAATATAGGTCTAACATTATATGTGTCAGGCACCAAGGCTTGAAGAGGGTTCTTTACCTGTTGTTATGTCCTCACAGAATTGCATTAGCCACAGCTCCCCTGAGATCCTTGGACCACACAACGTTTTTTCCCGTGACACATTATGGCAAAAGTGGAAGTTGCTGATGATGATGTTGATGATAACAAAAATGGTTACCATGAGATGTTCTTAGAAGTAAGGGCAACCAATGTGAAACTGACAAAATCATTTATCGAGTCCCAGGTGATCTGTAAAAATGGAGGGCCTGGCACTATAAGTCCAATAAACCTCTAGGCATGGGAAATTGTCTTTTACTGTATTTTTGGGAGCAGTGATCCAAAGTTGGGTTTTTGAGGAGGGTGAGAATATACCACCACCCCCCTCCCTCACCCCCATACCATGAAAAAAAAAGGTCATAAAAACCAAAGGTTTGCTGAAATCAGAGCAACTAATTGCATTAAAGGGTGTAAGCAGAACAATAAGACGCAAGCGGCGAGTGCAGGTACTGGGTACTGGTTTGTCTACCGCCATCGCAGGAATAACTTGCTTTCTTGCACTGTGCTGAGTTTTGAATACTGGGCAAGCTGGATTACAGGGGAGACCACTGTAGATTATTCCTCCAGTTGCCAGATTAGTGACTGCCAAGGATGTCCCATGTGTAGGTTAAAAGAGATCATCCTCATAAGAGTTACAATATCCCATGTGCTATGCTAGAAACAGTTTATTTAACAGGCCATGTGAAGTGACAAACCTCCTTTTGTGTCTCAAATTCTCCTTGGTGGTGTTTTGGCCAATGTGTGGATGTATAGGATTAAATCCCTTAAAATTATATCCATAATTGTTTGGGAAAAGTTTATTGAACCAACCACTCTATTTCATTGGATCACAGGGGCACGATCTGAGTAACCAAGAAACTTGGAAGAAAACGTGGTTGAGAATGAATGAGAACTAGACTTCATGCCTTGCGTAAAGGGATTTACAGTAGGGTTAGTGAAAATGTGGGTTAAATATTAAAACCTGTTCACTCCACTTAGTTGGAAGAGAGAGAGCATCCACTGTTGAGAGTCCAAGGAGGCAGACACTGTTAGTCTGGCAGTTGTCTTTCCTGTTTTGTGATATAACTTGATCTATGTACCTCTTGTCTCTTGTACCCATAAGGGTGCAGGGTGTGGAGCTTAACTCATATTCTGACAACCTGGTACGAATGTGAATGGGGACAGGCACGGTGACTTGTCTTTGTGTTAACCAGTGAATGTATGATGTGTCTCTGGAGGAACACACTCATAATTAGGGTTCCCAGGTCCTATTTTCCGAGGATGGAATAGATCTACTGTCACTTAACAAGCATGTCACAAAAGACAATTAAAGAAGATTTGCTGAAATCAGATGTTTTGGGCTAATAGGCACAGAAATTACAGCCTAGCTGTAAACAACAACATGATAAACGTCCTTTCAAGAGCAAACATGGAAGAAGACAGAAAATATGTCATGAAATCTGAACCCCTGCAAACAATGCACTAACACCATGCTATCATACACAAACAGAACAAACAATCAATGATACCTAATCTATGAATGATATCTATTTAAATTTAAAGTCTAAACATTTAACAAGCCTGAATACACTAACAAGACTTTAGTTTGTACTTATATTTTGCCACCTACTTTTAAAATAGCAATTTTGTTAAGCTCCCTTCTTTTTTCTTCTTCTTTCCGTGCCATTACAAGAGCAACTCTGCGTTCTTCTTCCTTTTGAGAAAAGAAAAATGTCATGAAATAAAAACATTTTATATAAATTTATGAGATTAGTAGAAAGGAAAACTAGCTGAATTGTCCACTCTGCTTGGCTGGAAATTCTTGATTAGCTGTTTTCTAGCTTTAAGAAGTGGAAAGGGAAAAAGGGGGGGGGGGGGGGGGGGAAGCTGTCATTGCTGCCTATAGGACCAATCTGTTTAGGGCAGTGTAGATCAGGGGTTCTTGAGCCCCAAAATTTAGGGCCGTATAGTTAGTGCAGTCACCATGAGCTGTGCAAGCTGGGATGTTTATTTTTGTTAACCCCCCCCCCCCCCCCCCCCCAAATATCACCCATCAACTTCCCGGGAAGGGATCTAGAGTCTTTCACAACAAAACCGAGTGTTCTAACATATCAGCCTTTCTGGAAGTAGTAAAGTATTTACTAACAATATAGAAATCTTTAACTGCAAATGTTAAAAGCAGACTTCTCTTCTACATTACACCTAAGGACCTACATTTGGAAAGAGTTAATGACAGCCTGGAAAAGCCTAATTACCATCATGTTTTCACTACTCTTGGTATAGAATATATCCCAAATATTTCATTCAAAGAAACACAAGCAGTTTTGGTTAGATCAACAAACAAGTTACTCACACTAATATTCTTCATGTCCAGTTGTTTGAGCTGCTGCATGCATCTCAGGACTGTCTGCCTGTAGTTACAGTCCTGACACAAGGGGTTGCTATCCAAGGTGATCTCGGACAAACTCACTGAATCTCCCAGAGACTGAATATCCTCAAAACTGGATGAGACAGGTAGAAACGGGATTCAATCTCAGAAGTGAAAAGCAAAAATATGCTTCACAGATTTATGTTTTAGAAATATTATTTTATTGTATTTCAAAACAAAGTTTTCAGATCATGAATTAAAACCACAAGGACATAAAATATTTCACAATTTACTGCCTGGTATATTTCACTGTCAAAGTGAGACGGATGTACAACCAGACTGTTACTTGTGCCATCGGAATTGGAACTCTGCACCTGCTGCTGAAGATGGGGACAGGCGTTTATAAGAATGTCCGAGGGTGTGATGCTGTTTTTTTAGTTAAACATATAATAATTGATTTGGTGCCAACTTGTTCAGTTATGATTATTCCTGCAGCCCTTCTCTGATATCTCATTTCTATGGTTACTAATTTTATTTTTCGGTTTGTTGTGACTGACCATGTCTGTCACTGGCGGCACAGGGTGCGAATGAATATACTTTGTATGAGATGTTTCTTTTTGCTGATCAAGAATGTCTCATTGTGTAAACAAAAGTAAGGGGGGAAAAAAAAAAGGGGGGGGGGGGGGGGGGGGGGCTAGCTGTTCCAATAATTGTGGCTTGCATCAACTAACACCATTAATTTGATTTTCCATTTTCTCATATTTCAATAATTTCTTCTGTCACATTTTCTAGACCTGCAGTGTTGAGTTTATGTTTTTTTCAACAGATTCAACATCCTGGCACACAGAGGTGTAACTCATAAGTGCTCCGTTCTACTTGTAACTCAAGCCTCAGTCTGAAGAATCTCAGCTCGGTGCACAAACTCCTTTGCACTGGCAATGATCCTGAAATACTTTGGGTAGATTTTTAACTCACAATTCTGACTGGGCAGCGTCGTTAGGCTACTCTTTTTTTCAATTTCTAACTGCCAAGGGATTTTTTCACATATATGGATAAAATTGCACAGGAGTCAAACCAAAACACAGATATTATAAATGAACTACTCTTTGCAGATGACCAATGTTTGTTACAAGAAGAAGAACAAAAACTACAACAACATGTTGATTCCTTGCTCACTAACTGTAGAAAAGTTGACATGAAAATAAACACCTCAAAAACTGAAGTAATGACCATAGGAAAGAAACACAGTAAAGTAAACATAAAGATCAATGACATACAATTAGAACAAGTTCAAAAATTCAAGTACTTAGGATGCATATTTACAGAAGATGGAAGACTCGATAAAGAGATACAGGCTAGAGTTCAAAAAGCCAATGCAGTCAACTACCAACTGGCCCCACTTTTTCGTCATCCAAAGATCTCGTTACCAGCCAAACAACGGATGATCAACAGCATTTTCATCCCTACGTTATGTTATCAGTGCCAAACGTGGACAATGAACAAATCACATATGCAAAAAATAACTACGTGTGAAATGCGATGTCTCCGAAGAGTCACCAACAATACACGAAGAGACAGAGTCACACACGACAGCATTAGAGACAAAGTTGGAACAGAAGCATGCATGAAACATATTGAAAGACAGAGAATGAACTGGTTTGGCCATTTAGTAAGAATGCAACCGGATCAGATTGCCTATAAGGCCTTTTACAGTAGAACATCTGGAAGAAAGGCCAGAGGAAGACCCAGGAAAAAATGGATAGATGGAGTAGCTGAATACGGCCAGAAGATCCAGAAAACTGTCACTCAAATCACGCGAGAGGCTCAAAACAAATATTTTAAACCACGACACTGGGCTACAACCCGGTAAAAGTGAAGAAGACAATAGATAGATAGATAGAAGGGATTTTTTACGTGCACAAGAATACATGATCTTACTATCCAGAGACCAGTGGAAACTACTAGATATCTACGCTTGAACCCAGGACCTCTAACTTTTGAGCGGGACACCATACCTCGAGGCCACTCAGCCTGCCTTGACAGTGTTAAGTACTGCAATCTTGTATTTTGTATTTCACTTTCTGGTAATGTAGTCCCTTAACATTGTCATCTTCAAATGCTGTTTTATCAGTCCTTTAGTACCTGACTGTATTCTTCCAATGTGTGTCACAACTTCACCAGAGCCCCACAGGCCAGGATGTTCAGGATGATCCAGACTGGCTACCTTAGCAGCTGCATGGAGCAAGACCATACCAAACTTCACCCAATCCTAGCAATCCTCTATTTTTTCCTGTTTACAATCTCTCACAATGGTGGACAAAAATGAATCCATTTACGGGTCCTCTTCGGAGAAAACAAGAATAGACCCACTGCTTTCCCAAAAAGCATGATGTGAGAGGCGACTAACTGGGGGCTTCCTTCGAAGCAAGATCTATCAAATGGATGCACACATAAAATTTAGGTCCTGGAACCAAGCCAAAGTCCAGAAATGGATAAACAACCAGGTGTTTCTGCCGCGGTTTAGGGCCATTAAAACACAAACAACAACAAAAACTGAAACACACAAATCACATAGTCCAGTGGTTCCCCATTTGCTGAGACGTGTGGAACTCTCCTACTTTTAGAGGTCTTCCATGGACCCCACACATTTTAACAGTCCTAGTCAAGAATTTATTAACATTTTTAAAAAAAAAGAATTGCAAAAAAATATGACCACATTTTACATAAAGTTAGGGTTTTTATTTTGGTCAATGATATCAAGTACCCATTTAATCTGTTCAGTGAACCACATCCAATGAGAAACACTGACCCAGTCCAATGTTAAAAGATACATCTCCCCATGGAAGTCTTAGATAAACCACCAATTCTTCTGTTTAAATTATGTAAGATTGCCCATCCTTTTTTTCTTATAGGCATTGTATTTGTCAGTTTCGAAACTATCTGTTCCTTAGCAGAGCCAGATTAAGCAAGATTTAATTAAAAGATCAAGGCTTCAGTCTTTAAGTACTCGTTTAAAGTTCCTTTTAATTACATGGGAGGGTCATTTAGGTTTCCCAGATTTAATACATTTCTTCTGTAGAGTTCCAAAGGTTATTCTTATTTTTTTACAGAGGCAAATATAACATACCCCTACTCTTATTTTTTTTTTTTTAAACCGATGTTAAATTTTTGTGAAATGTCTTCTTCTTCTTGATCTATAGATTTATGCTGTGATTAAGTGCAGAAGCCTTAATTTTATTCTTTAGTGATTACAAAAGCGTCTTATGTTGCCCCAGAAAAGACAAATATTCTTTAAACATTTAGATTTATTTTTGTTTTTAAAATGTTTTTAGTAATGAAAAAAGATGGAGATGAAAAAGGAAGTAATATCTAGCACAAACTGGATCTGGCAGTGGTGGAATGGTTCCTAACTTGTAGCTAACCCTTTCAGAACTTGAGCAATATTTGTTTACACAGTCTATTCCCCATCCCATTCTCAACAGCTATTGTTCATTCATTCTCCCCCCCATCTTTCTCTCTTTCACAAAGAAAGTACATACCTTGCAATGTCATTAAAACTGAGGAAAAGTCTCTGTAAGTTTGGTAATGTGTTGATCTCAGTCTGTGAAAATGATATGTCATGAGATATGACTTTTGCTGATGTTCCACTAAGCAAATCACTAAAAAAAAAAATAATAACCCCAAAAAAATGATGAATTAAGAATCCACATCACAAAACTCGGGACATTCCCATAAGTGCTCAGTTTCACAATCTTCTGCAGCAAGCAAAGAGTTCCAATTCCGAGTGGGACCAGTAACTGTCTGATTGTATATCCGATCTCACCTCACCCCTTGAGTGTTGAGCATCCACCCAGATCCCCTGGTAACTGGCCACAGCGCCATTCTCCTCAGACCCCAATGATCGATCTGTGCCTCCTCACTGTGCACTCACTCCTAAAGGGCCCTCACAACATCTAGCTTGTCATACATCAATTCATCACCAAGTGGTGCGGAACCGGCCAGTATATCTGCCTGCTCGTTTACACCTGCATCACCTGGAAAAAATATCCAAAGAATGCTAACTACCCTGGACCTCCGAAGCTGCTACTGAGTTTAGTACTTGGTTGCAGCCCTGTGAGCTGTGTTTTTCCTTTGGAATGCCTTTTATTTGTGTAGCAGTTGTGTTGTGGTATTCAGTATGGCAGGTAGCCGGTTTATACGTGAGTTGGTGAAATACCTTATGTAATAATTCTACATGTGCACAGTTACCAACTTATCGTGCCCAACTACTTCCATCAATGACAAACTGAATTTTGGTGGCAATTGTTGGCTTTGGTGCCTCTAGAAACTGAAATACGCATTTACTGTGTGCAAATATTTCTGGACTGTTCAGGGACTAGTTGTTTGTTCAACATTTTTTTCAAATGCAACAGTGAGGGACATTTCAACAGTGAGGGACATTTCAACAGTGAGGGACATTTCAACAGCGAGGGACATTTCAACAGTGAGGGACATTTCAACAGTGAGGGACATTTCAACAGTGAGGGACATTTCAAACGGAGGCAGTGTGAGGAAACCCGATTGTGCATTGCAGTGATGCTGAAACCTCGACTAAGACTAATACTGAAGCGATGCCTACCATTCTGCACGGAACATGCCTTTCCTCATCTTTCTCAACATACTCAGTGAGTCAGTTACAATTACAACATGTGTTTACAGCTGATTCTCAATCCAGAGGAAGGCAGCAGTGACTACTGACACTAAGTCATCACACATCTGATTTAATCTGACCTGCATGCTGTTCATGACTTCATCAAATAATTACCCAATTCATCCCTCACCTCAGCTCCATGTTTGCAGAAACAGTTTCCTCATTCTATTGCTGCAGCCAACACAATGTGATGAAAAGATTTTTATAATATATTACTGTGTCCTGCCCAATACCTTGATTAGATTCTTATTATTGATAAATAATACAAGATAACCAAACTGCTTGGAGTCATGGTGGTATAAATGGCTAGAACACTCATCTGCCAGACCACTGGCTTGTGTTTGAATCTTGAGGTGGGGACTTTAAAAAAAAAAAAAAAATACTAACCTAAGCTCTCAGGTCAATTTTATCTAATCCCAGTGTGCTTTCAGAGCCCCATTTTGTGGGAGAAATTCATAGACTAACTGCCCCTCTAACGAATGTATGATAAAAGGTGAGGTTTTTCTTTGAGGTCAGAGTGCATATCTGCCTGAGAGGTAAACAAAAAAGTCTACATACAAATTAGCCAGATCTGTAAAGTGAATGTCCAGAAGTGGACAAACAACCAGGACATTCCACAGCAGTTTTCAGCCAGTGAATGCTGGAAAGAAGAAGGAGAATCTGGCCTAAAATGGGTGATATGATAAACAAAGAAGCCTGGAATAATGCTTACTACATCATCCGGTTTGAAATATAAAAATAAAAAAACATAGGGCTAAGACAGTGGGCCTCAAAATGTGGAACAAGATTTGTGACTGAAAGATAAATTTAGGAAACAATGTTCATGAACTCACCACAGTTTGGATTCTGTTGCGTCGCAGATTGAGTTCAGCTAGTGAGTACATCCCTCTGACATCAGCTACATGGGTTATTAGATTTCCAGCAAGGTTGAGGACACGCAGCTCCGATAAATGGCTCAAATTCTCAATTTTTGAAATCTAGAGCAGATAACATCAGTTAGAATCAGATGTTTTTAACTTAGACATATTGACAACATATATTTAAAAACATCTTACCATTCAAACACAGAAGACACAAACAATAGATTGCACAATTTACTGCTTGACATATTTCGCTGTATCTTGTCAGATGCATACTACAGTAACAATTAAATAAAATAAAGCAATTAAAAAAATCCTTTAGAACTAAATTACAGATTCAACGACTCTTAAAAGCAACTGCCTGTTTTACCAGCGCAGGCTCACTATCATGTCTTCTGTTTACACTGTACCACTGTTCATTACCTTTCTCCAGAATTGTGTAAACAGAAAGACATGATTGGAGCCTGCGCAGTGGGCAGTTGCTTTTAAGAGTGACTGACTTTGTTCTTCAGTTGTTAAGGATTCACAGTTTATTTAATTGTTACTGTAGTGTGCAGTCAATTGTTTGTATCTTCTTTGTTTGAATTTACAATGTGGAAACTTGCTTTGCTCTTAAAATTCATTAAAGTTACAACAAATTAATGAAGCATCAAAATTATTTCTCGTGACTGAAATCCACAAATCACATTGTCTTGCATAGTTAAGATGTACATCATATAACCGAAAGATCAAGATAGCCACCTGGTTACAGTGTACATTTTAGTGGAAAGGATTCATTGTGTGCATTGATGTAACTCTGTAGTAATGCATCTGACAAAGATGTAGTAAAATATGCCATACAATAAACTGTGCAATGTATTGTTTGTGTCTGCATTATTTAAATTTACAATGGGAAAAGATTGTTATAAACTAATTAATGTATTCCTCTGCGTGGATTTTTATCGTGATATGGGACGTCGCAGGTCGACCCAGCCTCAAATGGGTACCAGGATTGCTGTCCTGGGAAAGTAAAGACAGCCGACGTAATGCTGACCACATTACCCACCGAGTGCTGATGGTCTGTAAAAATATGGGCGCTCTTCCCATATGCCCGATTCGCCTAAAAAGGCGTGGAAAGGGATCTTTACTTTTTTTTTTTAATGTATTCCTGTTCTGCCTAAAACAATGCCCAACTGCATGCTACCAAAACACATTGAGAGTATGATGAGGCCTAACAGTTCCATAACCTAGCATTATATTTGTGTTGTATAGCCAATATTCTAGTGTCACCCCTTTCCAATGTAGCATTGACACCCAATCATTTCAAGCCAAGCTCACTTTTTCATGATTGGCTGGATTTAGCAACTAATGTTTTCTGTAAAATGAGGTTTCCAACCAGACTCCCCCCCCCCCCCCCCCCCCCCCCCCCTCCAGCGCCCCTTCTTCTTCGCCGAGCCATCTCTTACAACATGTATGGTAAGTTACAATTATACTATCTTTTGCTTCCCTTATAAATCTTAGACCTAAGCTCCATAATAAAGAGCAACGGAAGCTGTTCTACAGAAGTCAAAAGAAGGATGGGGCCACAGCACTGCCAAGATGAAACTATCACCAGCAAGGAAATCAAAGTCAACATTTTGTGGACAAGTATCTTTCATATAGCAACATATGGTTGTGAGTCATGGACTATCTCACAGTCATTAACTCTTTGAGTCCCAAGGAACGCATCATACGTTCATAGGTTACTGCCATTGACTACCCCTTGGGCCTTTGATGCTAAACCCTCTGGGACTCAAAGAGTTAAGGAAGAAAATACAGGTTTCTGAGCTGACATGCTGAAGGAAGATTCTCAGAATACCATGGACCAAGAAGAAAAGACATACTTACATCCTGAAAAATCTGAACATCAAGGAAGATTGGCTAGTAAACAGCATCTTGTCTCAGAAACTGAAATATTTTGGTCCTATCGAGTGCCATGGTGGACTGGAAAGAACAGTAGCAGAAGATATTGTACCAGGAAAGAAGGTCAGGGTCCAACCAGCACAAATATGGGCACAGGATAGAAGTGACACCTTAGGTATGAAAGTACACGAGCAAGTACCTGTGATGAGAGAGATGTTCTGCAAAGGACCTGCTACATGATGATGATATAAGCCCAGCTAACTTCATCAATATCATATTGGCAAATTCCTCTTCCCAGGTGAATCAGAAGTACCTATTTTACCTGTTGTTTGATTTTTGGATTTTGCTTCTAAATGTACATTAATTTGTCCCTACTGTCTATGGACCTAATCTTTGTGACTTGCAGATGTTAAAAATTCTTTAATTTACACAGAAAATATAACAGTAATTATGCTATATCCTAGTGTGTGAGAGCAAAGAGTACAAACCCCATTGGCTCTAATTCTATGTTTACCTGGTTTCCATGGAGATCAAGAACATCGAGTTTCACTAAAGCCTCCACATTTTGAATTTTCTTTATCCTATCAAACAGAAAGACGATAAATGATCATGGTCCATCAATGTCAAAATAAATATTATGACTACTAATATAAGTATATTATGTGTAATGATCATTTACAATTAATCATGTTTTTTATTCTGTTCCACATTTTTCTGGTTTATCCTCCAAGCCCTTTTGGTAAACATCAGAAAAAAAAATTTAACTTTGTTATGTCATGAGTTGATTAAACATGTCTTTGGAGTTATTTTTTGTAGGTCATAAGTTATGTTGTAGATTGATAGGGAAGGTACAAAGGATGTATATAGAGACAGGCTTACATAAGATATAAAATGTAAAGATACAAACCAAAAAAAAAAAAAAATAGAACTAGTTAGCTTTAAAAAAAAAATCACAAACACAAACGACAAGTGAATGTTGCAGTTAGTAAACTTTTATTACATAAATCTATAATACCATAAATGAGAACAAGAATAGACAAAATCACTTAACTGATGTATCTATGATATAAATCACGTCTTTGTCTGGCCATGAGAATATATGACAAATGTGTGGCCGCTGGAAATAAATACTAGCCAGAAAAATCCATGAGTGACAAGGGCTGTAACTCAAAGATATTAGATAAAACTGTGTTAGATGTTGTCCTCTGAGTGAATTGGCACCCACGAAATGGATGAGGCAGTTCTCAACAGACACTTGATAAAACTGCCAATAGCTGGATTTGATGGCCATAAACTTTATGTCAAGGACAACTTGATGATCCTGAGAACAGAAATGTGATGGCACTGGTCTGAGGGCATCATTTTGTACACCAGAAAGATCTTGCCTGAACCTGTCAACTAGTCACAGCTTTGTTTCACCTATGTATCTCATACCACATCAAGATGGAGTAATTAACACTGCGGCTCATTCAATAAAATGCCTCGCGTATGTAGAAGCTGGCACCAGGGATAAAAAGTCCAAGGCATTCGAGACTAAAAGCCCAATGTGAAACACCAATATAAAATGTTAGTGAGTCGTGGAAGTCATGCATAATTTTGAAATGACTGTATTTACTGTCTGCAGTAAATTTATACAGATGGTCCATTGCTGAGAGGCAAAAGTAGTGTCTGGAGGTTCTTAGCAACGTTTGGTTCAGAGTGAGCCTAGCATATGATACCAAAACATCCAGCTTAAAAATAGAGGTGGAGGCAGTCGCTGCAGTATTCTGCTGGCTATAAAACATGATACACACACACACATCATGATTGTAACAGACTCAGAAAGCATGGTGAGGAAGATGAGGACAAGCATGCTTTGTGGAGAGTGGCATGCTTCGCTTTGTAGGTCATGGGTGAAAAGTATTATTTGGCTCTGCACAACTTGGTGGAATATGGCAGACGTGGTCAGGTGTGATAAGGCATACATGGTTAAGGTCTTATGGGAGCACACGTACAATGTGGAACAGCAAACTAATTATCAAAGTGACAAGGGAATCTGGCCAATTCTCGATGCTCAGAGGAAAGGCAAGATGGACATATAATCAGACTGCTATTGGGACCACTGGTACTGGAACTCTGCTCTGGCTGCTGAAGATATGGATTATGTGCTTATGGGAATGCTCAGAGTACTGTAATGGTGGTTCTTGAAACATACTGTATTTAGCACCACATTTTAGGGCAGTGTTTGGGGTGGAGTGGAGGGGTCATGAGTCTGAGGATATAGGGCTAAATGGCTAGTCCATCAATGACTTAGGATGTTTATTTTTGTTCGTGACAGAAAAACAAAGTCTATCACCTTACCAAGGATTCAAACCCAGGTCTCCCCCATAAAAGCCCAGCATTCTGACTATTTAGCCAGCTACTCCTTCTCACAATTACTAAAGAAGAAAATTGAGAAGATGATTTGAAATACTACAGAAAAACACATTCACAATGCTATCAATCAAGATGTGAAAAATAAGGACACCCTAAAATATCTGCACATTGAACAAAACTTTTTTATAAAAAGCATCATGCCTTAAAAACTTAAAATATTTTGGTAATAATAAATGCTGCATTGGTTTAGAAAGATTAGTAACAGAAGGCATGGTTCTTGGAAGAGAAGGAAAGTGTTGACAAGTTCCAAATTGGGACACATGGTATTAGAAATACAGTGGGCTACTGGCAAAGACTGAGAGGTGGACGGTGACGGAAGCAGCCGTGATGGAAGTAATATTCTCTAAACACCTGCTTCTTGTGTGTGTTCTGAGGCTTTTTTGTGTGTGGTGGGGGCAGGAGGGGGGGGGGGGGAGAAAAAAGGGGAACAGACCACCCCCCCCCCCCCCTGCCCCCCAAGCATGTTTGTGAAAAGTGCCTAATTAGCAATATGCTGAAATCAGAGATCGTTGTTTGGCTGAAAGGTGCTGATATGGCAGCCTTGCATTAAACAACAAAATAGTATGCTAACTGAACTCTGACATTAAAAACAATAACAAAGATCTGCTACATTGTGATGATGATGTTGACAAGGATAGTCAGGAGGTGAACCGAGAAATATTTTTTTAAAGCTGTTTGGTGAACACAGTTGGGGAAGAGGGGAAGGGGGAGGAGAACGGGACATAGATCAATGTCATTCTTGACATTTCCTTCAAACAATGACAGTTCTGTTGCTTTCATATGTTCTTCTTCCTGCTGCTGGTTGTGTATATCTCATATGCAATCAGTATAGTTTTTTTTTTCTCAAAGCAAATTAAAGTTTGTTGTTTTTCAATAGATAGGTTTGTCTTCCATCTTGAAAAAGGTTTTTTTTAATCATTAAGATTTGTGTTCTAATCTTGATACACCATTTCACAGAAATGAAAATACTGTTACAAGGTATTTATAAAACACTGGGTGTCAGCCCTATGGCAGTATACACTGGGCGATATTCACTCGTGCTCTTTATACTAGCTTCTGCATAAGGACAAGAGAAGAAAGACATAGTCGTTCACCTGTTTCTGCCAAGCATAAGTACCCGTAAAGACTTCAGTGAAGATAAGCCAGATATTTCCTCAACATGGTTGTCATACAGATCAAGGAATATCAGTCGTTTTAATGATGCTAGGTGTTGAATTTGAGTGATGAAGTTGTGCTGGTAGTTCAGCAGTCGAAGTTGCTCCTCCCCCTCTAGTATTGGACACACTGTGAGCTTCCGTCTGCAAAAGATAAGTAGAGACTAACATGTTATCACTGTTCACAGAGATCTGATTTATTTCTGGCTCAGTGGTAACAAGGATCAACCATTTTGTTACAGGATTATGGGATTTATACAAAGTGTTTATGAAAACTATAACCATTACATTTATGAAAATTAGAACTATTAAAGAAGGGAAACAAAAACAATATAAAGCACTGGTTGTGTTGAGAACTGTAATGAAAAGAGTGTTGTTTAAAGAAACTGACTGACTGACTTCTACCCCACCAGGACATCACATAAGCGATAAACACCCGATGACACAATGTGCCAACATGTGGGTGAGGATCACCGTGGAGAGGTCCCAGAAACGGCATTCAGCCTTTAGGCCATATTTATGGCCAGGCTATATTGCGGCCCCCAACAAGAGCCAGAGTAGGGCTTCAAATAATGAAAAATGTCGTCCTAAAAAGGACAGGAAGACAGTTGATGTTTAAAGAAAAAATCCCTGTGTGGGTTCAAGACCTGAAAACCCATGGCATTAGCCTGCTCGGGGTTAGAATACATGACCATCAGGCTGGCAGACAAGCATACCAGTCATTGCATACTGTCTCAGCTCCACCAATGGCAGGCACCAACAGTTTTTTCTTCTTCTTCTTAGAGTCCATTGGTAGTCATGTCTATCCATAACCTTCAGTCTTGTTTATTTTTAACTAATTTTGACACAGATGATCTTCCATGCCATGATGTCAAACTGTCCAGTCTTTTTTTCTCAGTCTCTCTCTGTCTCTTTTTTCTCTTCAACCTTTTCACTGGCATGATATACTAGAGTGTTCTCTTTCTCATGACATAATAAAAAATGTTGTAGATTTGTCTCCATGTGATGTAGGCAATCATTCTCTTTATGGGTCAGTTTTGTCAAATGCATTTTCATTATTCTTTTTATCAGTCCAGAGTATCCCTCATCATTTGTCTGTAAAACCACATCTTCACCGCCTTTCAAATAATTTCTCACTAATCATCCAACTATTCTTGAATCACATCCAATTATTCTTGAATCACATCCAACTATTCTTGAATCACATCCAATTATTCTTGAATCACATCCAACTATTCTTGAATCACATCCAACTATTCTTGAATCACATCCAACTATTCTTGAATCACATCCAACTATTCTTGAATCACATCCAACTATTCTTGAATCACATCCAATTATTCTTGAATCACATCCAACTATTCTTGAATCACATCCAACTATTCTTGAATCACATCCAACTATTCTTGAATCACATCCAACTATTCTTGAATCACATCCAACTATTCTTGATTCACATCCAACTATTCTTGATTCACTACAGTATATCAGGATAGGATTTATATAGCCTGTGAGAATTCTCTTTCTCAAATCTCAATTGACAAAGAAAATATATTACACAATACATATTGTTAACACTAATAATTAAATATTAAATAAATATTATGTGTCTGTCTGTTTGTTTCTTTCTCCTTCTTTACTTTTTAATATCTCATTTCCTTACTCTTTACCATTACTGCCTAACAACATTCCAATAGAGAAAATACCTGTCCAAATTGAGTCTGTCTGGATTTGATGCTCTCTCCTCTTGAGTTCTGTAAACAATGGGGATGCCAGGGACTAAAGGATTCTCTGTGAATGTAACTCGATCCCCTGGCAAGGAAACAAAATGGTTGCTAAGAGACAATATATGAACAGTCTCTGTAATATAACAGTATTCTAAAGTATCAAACGTTTACATATATAACTTTAAACTCTAAGCAGTCGTTGGCCATTAGTCGAGGTTCCATCTTCATTGCAGAGGGGTCACCTCATAACTGCTCCGTTCTTAGGCCACTGGAAATCACAAACAAAATGTCTTTCACTGACTTCACTATTGAAAAATGTCAGTCCTAGGAAAATCTTGAAGCTTGCACATGCAAAGTAAATGCATAAAGCAACCATGAGATGTGTCAGCACTAACAGTCCCAGGCCACAATTGCAGCTCACTGCTAATGCAAGAGGTCAATTACAACAGCCAGCAGTTTACATGCAATACTGCATAATTACATGCCATTCACATTGTAATTAGTCACCAACCATTTTTAATACAGTTCACAACACAAAACTGTTGCAGGCACAACAGAAAAAAAAAACACCCTATGGCTCACAGTGCTGCACTAAGCACTCAGCTCAGTAGATGGGTAACAGAACCTTTGGACTACCAGTCTAGAAAAGGGGAATTTGTGTTGGCAAACCCTGGTTAGAAATAAATAACTTTTCACAGCATCAGCGCTCAGTCGGTTAACCGACTACTGGACTAGAAGTCTCTGCTGAATCTTAATGATTAAGGTTAACCTTGGATCGAGATGGTTTCCCACTATGAGAGTAGTGATGTGATAACCAGAGCAAGATTTTAAGGGTCTTAAAGCATCAACATCAATCTTGAGCATCCACATGGTCAAAATAACACATTTTTAACTGGCCTACCTGGCAGAAAAGTCATGCTTTTATGGTGTTTGGTTATGCCATGAACATGGGCACTGCCTCCATGGCTCCCAGCCTCATCTTCATCCTGTAGAAGACCTTGAGGCCCAAGGTCACTGCTGAACACTGCAGACGGAGCTACTGATTTCTTACTGTTGCGGAGGTGAATTGGAATTTTTTCTGCAGGAAAACAATTTTGAGTTTACATTTAATGTTTCAACAATGCAGACAAAAACAACGTACCGTGCAATGTAATGACTCATAATAACCAGGCCAACCAATGAGTGTTGATTGGTCTATAAAAATATGGAAATGGCACCAGGTACTGAATACATTTGAAGGCATGCAAACAGATCCTTGACTGGTTTTATTTTGTTTATTTATTGATTGTTTTATTTTGTTATTGTTTTATTTTGAATTACATTTAATAAACTAATTAATAAAAGAATCTTGAAAGAATTAACAAGCATAACTTTTAAATAAAATGTACCCCTGAAATACAACATACTGTCAGTCAGGTATATTTATATTTAGGTTATTTATATATATAAATATATAGTTGGTGGTGTTGGACACAATCAAATGCCTTGCTATAATCAATAAAACAAGCATGAAGATCTACATTGTATTCTCTGCATTTTTCAAAAAATTATTCTCATATTAAAGATGTGATCCCTACTACTACTAAAGGTACCTTAAGTAAATTATTTTAAAGCTAAAATGAAACAAAAAATTATGAACAATGTTTAACATAAAACCTGTTTTCTTCAAGCAGCCATTATTTAAATTTTTAAGTTAAATAATACAAGAAATAAGACATCACCAAATCTGCCATAAGATAGAAAACTGGGAGAAAAAAAATTAACATCAGGCAGAGTAAAGCGAATCAAGTAGTGGGACAGCTAGCACCCACCTTACAGCATAAGACAATCCCAATCAGACCAAAGAAATATCTCACACAAAGCATTTTCATTCCCACTCTATGCTACCAGTGCCAGACATGGTCACCCACAACAAAGCAAAAACAAAACACATTAGCAATTACATACAAAGACAAGCAAATCAAATGGTTTGCCCACTAAGAATGCCTTGTGATGCCATACCATACAAGGCAGACACCAAAAGAAGAGAAGAACCATGTACATCACAAAGAAGTTCCAAGGGAATGAGGAAGGGGAGGGACTTTAAACAGTTTTGAAAATGAGTGCAACTGTACTAGTAAAAATTCATTATTCTAACATACTGTTCTAGTTTAATTATAAATTTTTAAAAAAAATTTAAAAACAAAAAGCCAAGGATGTTTTTGTTCGCAGGAGCAGTTTCTACAAATACCATTAAAAATCTTATTAAAATTATAACATGTGCATTTAATTTAATTAAGAACACATTTCTCCTCTTTTTGTTCACATTTTTTATTGGGGATGGGGGGCCAGGGTGGGGGTTCTTGCCACATACTCAAAGGGGGCGTCACTTGGAATAGGTTTAGAGGCCACAGGTTTAAAGAAACGAATAAAAGTAGCAGGGTGTAGCAAACTAGGGGAAAATGTAATATAATTGCTTCCTCAATGTGAGAAAACATTATATTTAAAAAATAAAGCAAAAGATAAGATGCACTTTTAAACAACTGTGTATCTTAACTGCAAAAACATTAAGTTGATCTTAACTGTAACAAATTAAGTGGATCTGAATTGAAAACACATTAATTGGTCTTAAAGGCAAAGCAGGGTAAACCTTTTTTGTAAACATACTAGCAGATCATAAAAGAAACCACATTAAGTAGATCTTAACTACCAATATTAAGTATACCTCAACTGTCAGTATATTAATACTCATAAAACATTTCAAGATATTAATTTACCTGCCAAAAGTAGATATTCATATATACAGATATACCTCATATGGCAGTTTCATAATTTCACAGACAGAAAAAAAAATGAAATAAAGTAAATACTGAAAAACAGCCTGTATGTACAAGACTGTAGAGTTGGAGTAAAATAGTTCTATTGCTGCTTGAGTTCGTATATTCTTGCTTGCTTGCTTGTTGCACTCCACTAGGACATCACACAAGTGATAAACACCCGGTGACACAAACTGCCACCATGCAGATAAGGATCACACGTGGAGAGGTACCAGAAACCTCTTTCAGTCGTTATGGCCACAATTGTGGCCCAGCTATATTCAGGGCCCCCAGGAAAAAGCCAGGGTGGGGGTTCAAATAATAAAAAATTGCATCCCACAAGGGGAAGACTCGAGTAATTTATGTCGTGCACACTTAGTATATTCTAGGCCAGACCGCTTTTATTTTTGAAGGTCTCGTATTGAACCCATACTTTTTTAGCTGCCATACACAAGAACTTATTTTAGTTTATCAGTGTTAGGAAACACAGAAGACAATTGCCTTCTGTCACCTGCCGGTTAATCCCGCTGCTTAGACCCTCAAATGTCTCCCTTCCAGCAAAACATCAAACGATTAATAGCACCTTCCTCCCTACTTTATACTATTAGTGCCAAACATGGACAATGAAGAGGGAACAGAACAGAAAATAACTACATGTGAAATGTGCTGTCTCCTCAAAGTCACAAACAACACAAGAAGCGACAGAGTTATGTCTGATTGCAAATAGATCTTTGTGTGCTTTTGTTATCACATTGTCAACAAGTTCACTGAATGACAAGCTGCGATCAAACATCACCCCGAGATATGTCATCACATTAGTTCTGATCAACACACTATCACCCCTTTTCATTTTTGGTAAGTCCATCTTGACAATGTGATTGTTCAAAGAGAACCATGACACTGATGCCTTTGAAGAATTGATGTAGGCATTAGGACCAACACACCAGGTGGCAATTCGATCAAGTTTGTTGTACTTCGTGCTGGTAATCTCCTGCCTGTCGCGTCCTTATCAATATATCAAAATTTCATCATCAAATGACAAAGTCCTTCCTTTTCCATTCAGTAACTGCTCAGTGATAATCACCGTATACACACTGAACAAGACTGGTGACAGTGGTGATCCTTGCGGCAAGCCTGGACATATCGTTTGCGGTTTTGAGAACCAGCTACCACATCTGAGTACTAACTTTCTCTGGAACAGGGCCGCAGCAATCCCGCAATTCAGAATATGATTTACTTCTAGTTTCTCCCTGAATAGATGTAGGCTGACAAAAATCAGTTTCATATTTGTTCCGGGGCATTCTGGTGTAAAAGACAATGAATGAGCTGACAGACTTGCAAGTGATGCTCACGTGGGAAACAGACAAGCAGTGGACTAAGAGAGGCGGCTCAACTAAACGAATCAAGTAATGACTGTGAATCTGCAATACTGACAAGACTACATGAACATAACATCAAAAGGTGTGAAGTCAGACAACAGCGCTACACAGGGGCCAAAAAAGAATGGTAAACCAACACAAAACTGGTGTCATAGGCCACTAAATGCTGAGGGAGATACTGAAGAGGGGATCTGAGCACTTATGGACTGGATGGTTTGATGTGCGATGATGATAATCTGTTGACTAACTAACTATCTTGACCATTATTATGTAAAACAACATTTGGCTGCTAACAGTTACTTTACACACGTTTCTTAACACTGGTGAAGCAGTAAAGATAAATGTAATCTCAGGGCAGATACAGTCAGTCTTATGCCCTCACAGCATAATGATTTGAGGTTGCCAGTTTGCTTCCTCACTGTTGTTTCTTCCAGGACAATTTACATAAAATTAACTGGTATCAATTTTATGCCGCTGGACTGACTCTAAAATCAAAGTGTTCAGGGAAAACAATCCTACTACTGTTGGGAATTGAATCTAAGTGAGCAAATAGATAAAACAATAGATATTTTCTTCTCTTGATTATAAATCACCACTATAAAAGAGTTGATGATCTTTTTTGTACCACTGGAAGATCAGATTTATAATGCCAGCCCTGAATGTTTATATATCTAGTTACTCTTAATGGGTAATGTGGTCAACATCAATAGGTGATTTGGTCAACATCAATGGGTGATTTGGTCAACATCGTTGGATGATGTGATTAACATCAATGGGTGATGTGATTAACATCAATGGGTGATGTGGTCAACATCAGTGGGTGATTTGGTCAACATCAATGGGTGATTTGGTCAACATCAATGGGTGATGTGGTCAGCATCAATGGGTGATTTGGTCAACATCATTGGGTGATGTGATTAACATCAATGGGTGATTTAGTCAACATCAATGGGTGATTTGGTCAACATCAATGGGTGATTTGGTCAACATCAATGGGTGATTTGGTCAACATCAATGGGTGATTTGGTCAACATCATTGGGTGATGTGATTAACATCAATGGGTGATGTGGTCAACATCAGTGGGTGATTTGGTCAACATCAATGGGTGATTTGGTCAACACCAATGGGTGATTTGGTCAACATCAATGGGTGATTTGGTCAACATCAATGGGTGATTTGGTCAACATCAATGGGTGATTTGGTCAACATCAATGGGTGATGTGGTCAGAATCAATGGGTGATTTGGTCAACATCAATGGGTGATGTGGTCAACATCAATGGGTGATTTGGTCAACATCAATGGGTGATGTAGTCAGCATCAGTGGGTGATGTAGTCAGTATCAGTGGGTGATGTGGTCAACATCAATGAGTGATGTAGTCAACATCAATGGGTGATGTGGTCAGCATCAGTGGGTGATGTAGTCAACATCAATAGGTGATGTAGTCAGCGTCAATGGGTGATTTGGTCAACATCAATGGGTGATGTAGTCAACATCAATGGGTGATGTCAGCATCAGTGGGTGATGTAGTCAGCATCAGTGGGTGATGTGGTCAACATCAATGAGTGATGTAGTCAACATCAATGGGTGATGTGGTCAGCATCAATGGGTGATGTGGTCAGCATCAGTGGGTGATGTAGTCAACATCAATAGGTGATGTAGTCAGCGTCAATGGGTGATGTGGTCAACATCAATGGGTGATGTAGTCAACATCAATGGGTGATGTAGTCAGCATCAGTGGGTGATGTAGTCAGCATCAGTGGGTGATGTAGTCAGCATCAGTGGGTGATGTAGTCAGCATCAGTGGGTGATGTAGTCAGCATCAGTGGGTGATGTAGTCAGCATCAGTGGGTGATGTGGTCAGCATCAATGAGTGATATGGTCAGAATCAATGGGTGATTTGGTCAACATCAATGAGTGATATGGTCAACATCAATGAGTGATATGGTCAGAATCAATGGGTGATTTGGTCAACATCAATGAGTGATATGGTCAGAATCAATGGGTGATTTGGTCAACATCAATGGGTGATGTGGTCAGAATCAATGGGTGATTTGGTCAACATCAATGGGTGATATGGTCAGAATCAATGGGTGATGTGGTCAACATCACACCAGCCACCTTCACAACCTATGTCATTCTACTAATTGTACCTGGCATCTTTGAAGGGATCTGAACTAAGACCATTGGGCCAGCAAGCAAGCTTCAAGCCACTGCACTCACATGACTCCAACCTTCACTGACATCAAATAAACTACAACTTTTGGATTAGGATTCACATTTAATTCTGGGTCAACTTGGGAGCCTAGGTCATTCATAAAAATATTTTTTGGATGTGGATTTGAACCCTGACCTTTGAGCGGATAACAAGCATTTCAGCCACTGCAATACTACTGCAACTCCATTCATCCCTGACCTGAAGTAAACTGTCACATTGGATTTGACATTTATGCAGTGATTCATTTGAAAGAGATTTTATCTGAGATAATTGGCTCAATTTGAAGGATGTCTTAATAACACTTGAAGCCAGCCATCAGGACTGGAGTCTCCCCTTTAGATCATTCTTGTGCTGTGTTCACAATCTGATAAAGAATAGCACGCAGTCTATTGTGTCTCACTTGTTACTTGTTGTCTGCATCGACATCCTAGCACACTGATCTGAGCCATTCATGCTCCTTCGTCCGATGTAACAGTCACAGTCTAATCGGTGTACACTGAATCATCATTACCATGGGCCAAGCAAACCAGCATAGGTGGTCGTCATGGTTCTCTTATAATCAGTGTAGTCACAAAGAAGGCCCTACCTTATCGATTATGCCATGGGCTAAGCAATGCAGACATGTATCTCCTTGTTTTTCACTTCGTATGTTTCCCGTCTTTTTTTCTTGTTTATTTTCAACATGTACAATGTGCATACAGTCGGCGTCTGTCGCTTAGGCTGCGGACGCACTTTGTAATGCCGGGTTCAAACCCAGGTGCGGGCATTGCGTTGGTTTCGACAGTGGTATCGAGAAGCCGACCCTCCAGAAAACAATGGCAAACTACTGACGTAAACTTGCCTAGAAAAGCCACAACAGCCAAAAAATGCTGAGGCTGGTTCTGCAACGTCCTGTAAAGGATACGTAACAAACTTAAAAATGTGCACACAGGACGAATGTTATTTTAATTCTGCTTGACAAAGGCAGCTGGATATTTGATTAATTAATTACTCAGAGATGACAAGGGAAAATGATGGATGTGAATCTTTTTATGTCAAAATATCAGCAGCAACTGGAATTTGGCAGTAGTTTAAAAAAACATTTTGACAGAAAATGTACTAAACATCTACGTTACTTCAGCTCTGTTTTGTGAACTAATAATTAGGTAACACTTAGAACTGTCGAAATAATGCTAAAGAGATATTATGTTTATTGTTTTAGAATATATTTGATGAAACAAAATTTATAAAGAAAATTCACATTTCATACAGAAAGGCATTACACAAAAGCCTGAAATGAATAAATGTACAAAAATCTGCGACAAAATAAACATTTGCTTTCAGTATGGGACACAGTATATCATAATCAATATCCAGAGTCACTTCGGTTTGGCAGATTAGCTGAAACTAGCCTTTTTTGTTGTTGACATGTTTCACTATTCATTTCTACCAGTTAACTCTTGTGGTGTGGCCCACACAGATTTAATATTGCCTTTTTTTTTTTTTTGCAGATACTCTCCATTCTCCTCTCCTGTACCTGCTTAATGAAAGAGCTGGGCCTCTTTACATTCTTGATATACTTAAATTGTCTGATCTCTATTCCTAATTATGTTATATATAAAGTGTAACACTGTGATTTATGTATTTCAGTAGAAAGGTTTCATTTGTATGTTTCATTATACGCTGATGTAACTCTGTAGTAATGCACTTGATGAGATACAGTGAAATATGATATGTAATATATTGCACAATGTATTGTTTTGTGTCAGCGTTATTTAAATATTGACATGACCATATTCTAAAGTCTCAGCTTCGTGAGTTTTTAAATGTATAAAACAGCAAATACGTAAGTGGCCAGCTTTTTAACAAAGTGCAAAAGAAGAAGAATTCAAACAGTAAGGTCACTTATCATACACTGAGTGATATTTCAACATAAAGCCAACTGATATCAAAATGAAACAGTGAAGCTACCAAACCATCACCAGATATTACTGTCTAGGGGAGAACAACAAATAACAGAAGATGTGAGGGTAAGCAACAGAAATTAATTCTAAAATATGCCAGCCATAAGCAGCATACCAAAGTCAAACTGCACCGGATGAATGGCACCTGAAAGTGAAGGTGACAGTCTTAGTCAGCCATCATGAAGTCAAATATAAACATTTTAAATGAATATGTTGGAAAATGTCAAGTGAGGCTATATATACACATAACATCTTTAACTTGGTGGTAAATATGAACTCTTTCAATCCCTTACGCTTTTAAAGCATGTACTCAACTGGCCAAAAAAAAATGTCATTACCCCAAAAAAAAAAAAAATTATTAAAGCATTATTCTAAACAAGGCTAAACACACATTGAAAGTAGCCATATTTATTTACAATGTTAGATTAAAACTGAAAAAATTGAAGACACATTATGTGATAGTTGGGATTTAAATGGAAGAACACTGACACATCCAAAACCAAACGTTGGCTGCAAAATCCAACCATGTTATGAACAAGTTAACCAACAAATCTGATATGAATCAGCTGAGAGTTTATTGACTCCCCTGGAAGATAAAAGACAAGAGGGTTCCAGGGCTCCACTGGGGGGGAGATAAGACACACTACCCCGTAACAAGCATGCACTAAGGGTTGTGTGAGAAATGACTAATTAGGGATGTTTAATTTGAAGTTGGAGTGCAGCTACCTTAGACTCAAGGAACTGTCTGCATACAAAAAAGCCAGAACTGTAAAACACAAAACTTAGATTCTGGAACAAGACCATATACCAGAAGTGGCTGAACAGCCATAACTTTCTACTGCAGTTTACAACCAGTGAATGCAAAGAAGAAGAATAAGAAGAAGAAGAAGAAGAAGAAGAAGAAGAAGAGAAATAATAATAATAATAAGAAGAAGAAGAAGAAGAAGAAGAAGCAGAAGAAGAAGAAAAAGAAGAAGAAGAAGACAAAAATAAAATAAGAACTATTTTTCAGATAACTTTCAGTATCAAAAACAATTTCAATTTGCACATGACTTTTAAAAAAAAAGTTACTACTACTCACTGTGACAGTTGACCTTTTTTTTTTATTCTGCACCGTCATGACATCAATTTTTTTCATTTTTTTTTACCCATTCATGATTTTAATATTTAAATCGTCAGTCTTAAAAAAAAATTATGCCCTTATGAAAGAGCCAGTATTGCCTACAAACCAGAAGAAAAAAAACCACTAGTATAGTTTATGGTTTTTTTTTTTTAAATACTGCTGAAATGTGCAGTAAAGGACAACATCAAGTAAATTCAGCTGTAAATTTAAGAAAAGAACTGAACGATGAGAAAATTTTAAACAAGTGAAGCAATAGGGGGAAATGCTTGGTTACCTGCAAAATTGTTGAGCTGGAAATCGTTCACCTGTTGTTGAGGAAACCTCCTCATTGTCGAACTTGTGTCAACAAAAGTCAATAAACAAGACTTCTAGCTTTCACGATTTTCTGAAAACATACAATACAAAGTTTTCTATCTTTACAATAATTTTTTTTTAAATTGAACATCACATTACTTTTGATTTCAAAACTCTTTGTGTATTTTTTCCATAAGATATTTTTGGTGAAAATGTGTTCAAGAATTCAAATTCACAGAAATACAATGAGATACACAATGTTGTTTACAAGAGAACAGTGATGTGACAAGAACACCACTTTAACTCATTCAGTTCCAGTCAAGTCACCACTTGTTTACTGGTTACTTCTTTCATGATATGTCTTTTCTAAACACTTCATTCCCTACAACCGGCCTGGCTGCTTTGAGATACCAGCTAATTTATTTTGTGTATCTGTGTTGTTTCATTTGTATGTGCTAATGAAGGCTCAATAGCTGCAACGTTCACGTTTTGTTTGTATTTGTTATATTGTGAAGCTTTCTAATATACTTTTCATTCGGTTTTATATCTTTTCTTGTTATAAGAACCTGTGTTAACCCAAATGCTTCTTTAACCTTTTTTGTTCCTTATTGTGGCTATTTTAAGTCTTCTATGGAACTAAAAAAACTATAATTATAGGTAAAAATACTTAGGAATCAATGAGTTAAGTGATACCTGCCAGGGACTGAAAAAGTTAACTATTTTTTTTTACACAGTAACACCACAAAACTGCTGGTTACTCCATACCTACTATACTTTTCTGAACCTAGCTTGTGATTAAAGTTGTATTAATCCTTGTATCACAATAGCTACTTTACTTGATATCTTACTGTGCCACTGCACTATATTGTTGTTGTTGGCACCTTAAGGCGCTGTGAGTGTTGACTGAGAAGTTCCGATTTGCCCAAACACCACTAGCAGCGTCGATCGTGTGTCCCGTACATATTGCTTCGCACACTTCTCCATATTTGTTTCTAATGTTAGGAACTACCATTAAAGTATTCAGGAAAGGTTACTCTATTGTTTTAATTTTAATAAAATTCTGTGTTTCAAAATACGTGGGCAGATTGATCCGATTCATAGCTAGTATTATTTTCAACAGTGCATTTTCTGAGTTCATTTTCGAGTGCCATGGATACCAACATTACAACCACAAGTAGAGGTCACAAAATGTGCCGTTCTGCAGCCAAAACTGTTTCAGTCGGATGTTTTTAGTTCTGATAATGATAATAGATTAGATTTTTCGGAAAGTGATTCAGACGGTGAATTTTCATCAGCGGCAGCTGAGCGATCATCTGTTTGGAAGTCTAGCGATTCTGATAAGTTTACACAGAGTATGTTCCATTGCTACCATATTTAGGATGCAAGAGAAGGAAAGTGCACCAAACATATAGACAGTACTATACTATGGCTAAGCTACATTGAAATCACTGCAACAACAGTCTGTATATAAATGTACAAAGTAAAAAGTAAATAGTGTGTGTGTAATGGCCCATTTTTCCTCTGAAATTTGTCTCAGCTTTCAGTGCAAACTAATAGCCCAATGAGTGCTAAACTAACCCAGAAACTTTTCATAACTTTGGAATTTGTTAGGTGTCAGAGGCCAGTTCGGCTATGAGAAGCACAACAGATGTAATTGTAGGGACCTAAACTACTCTACTTGTTTTATATGGCTCGCTAGGTAGGCCAGCTGACAGACTCTACTACCCAAACACACTTAAGACGACACTCCGGCTGAGTACCAGTAGGAAATTAAACAAACTTTAAAGTGTTATTCTCAAATTTGGATATTCACTGCTCTTATGGCTGCCAAACCATAGTAAGTGAAGAATTTGTTTTGTAAAATTATGTTGTGAAATTAGCACCCGCTGAATTCTTTTTCTACTAACTATAACAGTTTTAAACATACACTTATCATAATATTCAAAATGTACATTCATTTCTCTTTAAAAAAATATGCACTTTTTTAGGGATTAGAAGAATATTACATTCTCTATTGCCTTTTGTATATACCAACCCCTCTGCCATTTTTGTAAAGGGAAATTAATGTGGGCCAAGACTGTCAAAATTCATGGGCCTGAAAGAGTTAATCTGTGCTATTAGGAGGCCTAGGACTCGCACTCCATGGCAATTGCCAGAGTGACTAGCAAGGGGATTCCTTAGGGACTCTACCATCCTCCATTCTCCAGGTGTGACCCAGCCACCTGAGCCTTTGTAGCATGAGCACTGAGAAAACTTGCAATACCAGCACTTTCCGATATCTCAGTGTTTGTGAACTTGTCTTGTATTATTAGTGTAATATTATCTGAAAACTTTTTTTGCTAATTCACAGATAATTACACACGTGCACACACCTAGAATAATACTGCAAAGAAAAGATAAGAAGACTAAATGCAAAAGCTGATATATCAAAGGATAAGACTGCACGAACTGGTTAAGACATTTGTTCCAGTGTAGTTAAAGAGGAGGAGGAGTCAAAGAAGAAGAAAGAGGAAGGGTGACTCAAGAGAGATAGACAGACAAATAAAGTTAAAAAAAAAGATTGAATAATATTATTATTAATAATATTATTGGTTCTCCTTTAAACTAAGGCCGGTTAGACAGCCGGTTAGTCGGAGTTCAGTCCCCTTGCTACAGTGCAATTACGGAGTGGAGAAGGCACGAATCACAAAACAAAGTGACTTTGACATGGCTGCTAGAGCTAGACCACGCGCTGCGACTCACATTAGCGACCGCGTTCTTGCGACGCAAGACATAGTGGCTGTAGATTTGACACCTGTGGATCTGTATGCCTTAATGAGCGATAAGCTTGCCTGGTTGTGGTGGCTAGCTGAGCATAGAGTTATAAGGAACGTGCAGGTATGTGCCTCGTGCAACTGTCCTATGTCGTTAGCGCAGCACATTTTCGGCTTTTTTTTTTTGCACCTCCTGTGTCAAAATTATCAGATATAGTGGCCGTCATAATGGGTAAGTACTCAACGTTACATGTGTTACCCTAACCCTACCACTAACTCTACCCCTAACCCAAACCCTATCCGTATGATGACAGCAGGGCACTGCACGCTGTCTATCGCCAACACACAGTAATTATGTCATTTGTTTCGTTCCCTCTTGTCCACTCCGTAATTGCACTGCAAGGGACTCAACTCCGACTAACCAGCCGTCTAACCGGCCGTAGTTTAAAGGAGAATTATTTAATAATTTTAAATAAATGTTAACAGAATCAGATTGGTTGATAATTAACTATTAACTTTAACTATTCTTAATTAATTAATGTCCGGAGTGCAATGATCATAACCCAACTAACTAACTAACTAACTATTCTTAATTAATTATTACTGTAACTGCGCGAACTTAAAAAAGTATTACAACAATTATACTGAATAAATTCAACAATTTGAAATTATGGTAACGGCCAAAGAACTGGCTTGATTCAAATTTGAGTTCAATAAGCCAATAAGCTGAACTCAGAGCTCACTGACTACTCTACGACAGCCAGCATGTTAGCAACTACGTATTTTTTAAGCAAAATAATCGCTTGGCATAAGGATAAAAGTAGGCAAACTGTACTAACTAGGCTAAAACTATACTTTATGTTTTAATACTAAGGCCAAGGCTTATCTTTTCCCCTTTTTTGGATGATATGCATCCGCCATGTTGAAACCTAGGAAGCTAAAAGTCGAGCATGCGCAGAAGGGAGTTATCTAGTCCTGCTAGTCCAAGACAGCTGCTAATGGTTTATCAGAGAGAGAGAGAGAGAGAGAGAGAGAGAGAGAGAGAGAGAGAGAGAGAGAGAGAGAGAACTTGGTACTCTCTCACTTCGCCTCTTCTTAGCAGTAGATATCAGCTGGAAAGATTATCGAAAAATGCAAAATGAAGACACGAAACCTATCCTCGCGTGCGGAAGAACATCTCATGTCACACCATGCGATACATCATCGACCAGCCAGGTGTAGAATTTTTTTTTTTTTTTCCAGAAATAGCATGTGTAATCCTCAGGGTGATAATTGGGATATATTCTTGCTTTAGTTCTCAGAGTATATGTTTGTTGTTTCATACGTATCATCATCATCATCACGTGCCCTGCCGCAGGGGTTCATACATCTCTACAAATCTCTGTCCCTTGTTCTCTGGATCAGTTCCACCGATGTATCCCTCCATGCCACTGTCGCAGTCCATCCGTCATAATCTCTCTTGGTCTCCCTCTTCTACTAGTGATCTTTCCAGTCGTTACAACATTCTCTACAGCCTTCCCCTCCCCCCCCCTCCTCCCTCCCCCAATCACATGACCAAAGTACAGTTCGGGTCTTTTCCTAACAGCTGCATATATTGATCTGCTTTCATTAGCTTCCTTCAAGCAATCCTCGTTAGTTACTCTGGCAGTCCAAGGGATTCTTAACATACGCTGAAAAACCACATCTCTGTCGTCTCCAAGGTCTTTCTAATTTGTGCATTCACATTCCATGATTCACCTACATACAGCTATATACGTTCTACATAACAGTTCAGTCCTTGTTCGATATTTGTATATCGCGTAATTATTTATATGACCGATATGCAATTTGTATTGTTCCACAAGAGAATAGGGGCTTTTGAGCTGAAATGCTGTAGAAAGATTCTCACAATATCTTTGACAAAGAAGAGGAGAAATATTGACATCTTAAAAGATCTGAACATCAAGGAAGATAGGCTAATAAACAGCGTCCTTTCACGGAAGCTGAAATATTTTGGTTATATCAAGCGCCACGACGGATTAGAAAAAAATTATAGCAGAAGGCATGGTACCAGGAAGGAAGGGCAGGGGCCGACCGACACGAAGATGGGCACAGGATGTAAGTGACACCATGAGTATGAAACTACATGAGGCGGGAGAACTGGCGAGAGACCGAGTTTCTTTCACGCAGACTGTGATGAGAGCGACCTGCTACATGGTGATGATGATTGTTTCACATATTGCTTTGATCTGGATTGTGATTATACAAGAAACTGTACTATGAATAATTAGACCATCTTACTA